TGCATTGCGCACATTGGCCAACATTCATCTCGTATTAAATAAGATGAGCTTCCAGCCCAGCTTTCTAAGCGCTTGGGGGCTCTGCGCCTTAACAGAAGATACATCGCGAGAACCTTCAAAACCAGAGCAAGCGTGTAACTAGGTGACTGGTTGATTGCAAAAGCGCATCTGAGTCAAAGCCGCCTTCTGACACGTAACCCATGTTGCGACTGGGCGTAACTTTTAAAGCCGGTAAAGCCGTGGCGGGATCTAGGCGGACGGCACCACTAGAAGGTCTGGTAACGACAAACCGGGCGGCTTCACGTGGACTGATGAGCTGAGTGAGACCACACTGACCGGTACCAGGGAGCACCAATAATGAACAATCCTCCGCCGCCCCCATTCTGCTTACGAGGCGTGGGTCTTGGCAGGGCGGACAAACACCAGTACAAATACATGCATAGATGGCTGCTATGAGATCTTTCAGAACGCTCATACAATCCGTGGAGTTCATCATCATCATGTTCGGCTTCTTCTCTACAAAGTACAAGCATCGCAAACGCCATCCGGTAGATGACGATATCACAGCATCGGAACTACAACACCTTACCCACATGCAGATGCCGCACTCCGAACCTTTGAAAAAGTCCAGAGATACATTCACTAAAGGTTGGAGATTCGGCGCCCTCAACTGCGCGATCGCAGCCTCCATAGTCTTTCTCATAAATCTGATCGCCACTATAGCATGGGCTGCCAATACTGATAGCGGTGTATTATTCAGAGGGGACTGTGATCGTGCGCGTAAGATCAACGCAGTCCTTCATGTCATCATCAACTTCTTGAGTACAATTCTGTTGTCTTCATCGAATTACGCTATGCAGTGTCTATCTTCTCCAACCAGAATGGATATCAACGTCGCCCACTCTCGAGGCCAATGGATGGATGTAGGTGTCCTAAGCGTTCGAAATCTACGTCGCATCAGCAAGAAGCGCGTACTTCTTTGGTCAGCCCTAGCGCTCTCGTCGCTACCTCTACATCTCTTGTAAGTATTGAGTCGAAGCCAGAACCTATAGTACACTAACATGTGAAGTTACAACTCGGTCGTGTATCTGTCTCTTGCAGCATACAGTTACGAAGTTTACGGGGTCAGACAAAACTTTGTTGACAGCGCTGAATGTCTGGGCTGTGTGAGTCCTATCAATGGCTCCGACTTCGCCTTCACCAGGGAGATACACCAAAGGATCCAAGAAAGCCGGTTCGAGAGGCTCGATAACTTGGATTGCATTGACGCATACGCAACAACCCTGCAAACGCATAGAGGCGATCTACTTTTAGTGGCTAAGTCTGATGACATTGTATGGGCAAATCAAACTGAAGGGGTAGACGACGACTACAAGAATAACGAAAACTCGGGAGTTTTCTGGACTCACTCGCTCACAAGTGCTTGGGAATATTTTCCACAGGATACTTTCGAGTGGATTTGTTCGGGCCATACGGATGTGGACAAGTCATGCGACGCAGTAGTAGACGACATCAGAGGCTCTGCACGGAACTGGACCATAACAGGAGATATTGGCTACCTCGTGAGTGTGTCTGGGTTCTCCCACATGAGAGGCCCCATACAGTACTGTTTGCGTGAAAGGAAAGACTCAAAGTGTCGAGTTCTCTGGAGCATTCCCATCGCGTCGCTGGTGATAGGGCTGAATCTTATCAAGGCCATATCGATCTTCTATTTGGCTCTTCGCATTAAAGAGCAGCCACTCATGACGATGGGTGACGCTGTGCTCTCATTCCTGAAACAGCCGGATCCATGGACTCGGAATATGTGCCTCGCTTCCTCCAAGGACATCGAGAGTGCAAAAAACAATTTCATTGCCGGACCGAAGAGATGGAAGCTTCGAATCTATAGATGGAAAGATACTACAAGTCTAAGCCGTCGCATTAGCACTTTCGCTGTGTAAGTGCGCACACGTCGTTCTACCATCGCAAAGATTCGTTAACATCCCCCAGGCTTCTGATCTCGATAGCAACCGTAGGAGGATTTCTTTCCTATGGGTTGCGTCATCTCCGATCTGGTAAAAGTAACTCCCTTCGCAATCTCGCTGCGTTGGGTTTTGGTGCCATCGACGCTCGGACACTAATCGAGTATCCACGTGAACACAATGTCGACTCCATAATAGGCAACACTCTCATAGCCAACGTGCCACAGGTTGTGCTTTCGATCATCTATTTCTCATGCAACAGTCTGTTGACGTGTATGCTGCTAGGAAAAGAATGGTCATCGTATTCATACGTTCGAAAGGGTTTAAGGGTTTCGAGCGCCCCGAGAGGGTTGCAAAGATCAACCTACTTCTTGTCGCTACCTTATCGGTTTGCAATACCACTTATGGCAATCAGTGGATTGCTACATTGGATGATATCACAAAGCATCTTCTTTGCCGCCATAGAGGTAGGCTCTTTACCTGGACATGTTCTGAACTTAGTGTGATAGCTGACGATGACATTAGTTCTATGGGATCGGTGATAGTGTGCCATCAGATGTACGATATACATGCGGCTATTCTCCCATCGCCATGATATCTGTGATCATCGTTGCGAGTCTCGTTCTCATTGTCGGCGTCGGAGTGGGATTCGTTCCTTTGCGACCAGGAACCAATCTGGTTGGCAGTTGTAGTGCAGCCATGAGCGCAGCTTGTCACTTGTCAACCGCTGACAAGGAAAGAGGTGATGAAATTGCCGTTAAGAAGTTAATGTGGGGTGTTGTTGAAGTACAATCAAATGGAGCGGGGCATTGCTCCTTCTCCGACGAGGCCGTGGAAAACCCCAAAGAAGGTGAGCTATATGCTGGGCCGCGTGCGCAGGCTTATCCACAGCGACCGAAAAGATGAAATAGATGGTTATATAGAGGATAGTTGAGCGAGTTTGGGTAGTCGCTGGAAAGGTGTCTTCGTAGCAAAGCGATGGTGCCGTCGCACGTGGACTTTTATTCGGATGCCGGACGGAGGGATGACCTAAGCGTGCCATAATCAGCATTATCTCCACCTTTCGGAAGCGGGTCCGGCTACCAACCACCCTGCTTCGGCTCATGACTAGCACACTCACGCGACGCACTAAATGATGATTTGCAACGTCATTGAAGCCACAGCAAAGAAAGCGTCCACATGGTGCGGATCAGCGTTGGATGCGGGGTCCGGACTGACCTCGGTGTACAATGCCCCATATATCAAGCTTCTCCAAAGTGACTTTGGGGTCTTGTAGAGTAACATCTTATAACCTACGATAGCAAAAGTATTGATACAGTGACTATGGCGAAACAAGAGTACAAATTCCCGGCGTTTGACGACCTTCCGAAGGTCGAGGGCATGCCACAGGGCAGCATATGGGGGTTCTTTGACAAAGACGGGCAAAAGGATGAAGTCGGAAGTAAAGCAAATTGTACCCCATACAGCAATCGTATATCTAACAGGCGACAGCTATCAACCTTCTCACCTCGGATGTCGTTAAAGCGGCCTCCAAAGAGATCACCACCGGCGAGCACATCCAGCTTGACTGGGAACTACACAACGTGCAATTTCCAGGGTTCAACAGAAAAGAGCTCGAGCAAAAGCAAATCGATTTTGCGGACTTCTCCGAGTTCTGTGCGAATGATGACGAACTTCACATCAACACTCAAGCTGGTTCTCAATGGGATAGCCTGAAGCATTTCGCGCATCAAGCAAGCGGCATGTATTACAACGGTCTCTCGCATAAAGAGGCAGCCAACAGCGTCACGAACGGTACGCACAAGTGGTGCGAAAGAGGTGGTATTGTCGGAAGAGGTGTACTTTGCGACTGGCTTAGTTGGTATGAAGAGAAGAACGGGAAGAAGGCACCGAGCGCGGTGTCGAGACACGAGATTCCTATCGAGGAGATTGAAGAGACGCTGAAGTGGCAAGGCACCACTTTGAAGCAGGGAGACATTATGATGATTCGAAGCGGTTACGTAAGATGGCACAAGTATGTTGTCTTACCACTCTGAGAGACATGACTGACGATCCTAGCAATGCGAACGAAGCGGAGCGCAAGAGCGGTACTCGCGACAATAGTGTCGCGATTGGTCTTCAAGCCAACGAGAAGACGGTACGTTGGCTTTACGACCGTCACCTCGCGGCGATCGCTGGTGATACCGTCGCTTTTGAAGCATGGCCACCAAAGTTTACCGACGGATGGTGCCTACACGAGTGGCTTCTCGTTCATTGGGGTACCGCTATCGGCGAGATGTGGGACCTTGAGAAGCTTAGTCAGAGGTGCAAGGAGATGGGCCGGTACACTTTCTTCATGACAAGTGCTCCATTACATGTTAGGGGTGGTATTGGAAGTCCACCTGGAGTTATCGCCATCTTCTAGGCTCATTGCGCCACTTTTGCTATTCGAATTCTACGAACGTCGTTTGTGTATATCTAGTAGTACCGTTCAAATGGAGTTCGAATTCGGAAACAACCGTAGGCTGGCATGGTATATCGCGAAGATCTCGCCATCGGCTTTGTGTTCGCGATCCGCCTCGTCTTGTCGCATCACCCAGAATACCAACCATCACCATGGCTATTAAGACAGACGGTATTTGAGAAGCATGCTTTAGGTAACGAAAGGTCCAAACAATATCCAAAATCATTAAAGCCACAATGTAGCGGAAGAAATTGATGAGGCAGGGTGATCGCGTATGCCAGCGCGTATCAGCGCGTATTCTCTTTCGTTACGAGACCCACAGACCAACACGAAACAACCAAGCAAAGACTCAAAAGATGCCGCGCGGCGCTGCGCCTCTTGTGGTAATGCTTGAGAGAGATAAGAGAACGAAAGAGTTGAATGCGAAAAATGTGCCCAGTCAGGATGTGTATATAGTAACGGCGCGCAGTCGTGTCTTGGAAGGTATCTTCATTCGCTCCATCATCTTCTACATCTCCGTACACATTCTGTCTTTAATCTTTTGTTTCTTGCTTACCCAAAATTTTCCTTAGCCGTTATCGACCCAGAATCCGCAGATGGCGTCACACGACATCGTTCCTAGAGGCGAAGCTGACTTCGATCTTTACCCTTACACGCCCTCAGCAGGCGCCGGCTACACATTTCTCATACTATTCGCGATCGGCGGCCTGACGCATCTCATCATACTCATTCCGTTACGAAGTTGGTTCTTCATTCCATTCGTTCTGGGCTGCGTAGGTCAGTTACCTCGGTGCTTTACCCCATCGCCGAAAAGCACATCGCTGATAATTTGATCCACAGGCGAAGCAGCCGGCTACTACGGTCGCGCCTGGTCCTCACAGAATATCCGACAAGGCAGTCCCTATCTCCTCCAACTCATGCTTATCCTCGCGGCCGCACCACTTCTCGCAGCCACCATCTACATGACGCTCGGTCGCCTTATTCGCTCTCTCGATGCTACGCACCACGCTGTAATGAACCCGCGCTGGACGACGAAGATATACGTCATCATCGATATCGGATCCTTCGTATGCCAGATCATGGGGTCTGCGATGCAAGCTTCCGGTGACCCGGACGGAGTGAAGACTGGAACCACCGTCGTCATCGCAGGCCTAGGTACGCAATTAGTCGCTTTCGCCTTCTTCATCCTAATGGCGGTGGTGTTTCATCGAAGGTTAAACAACGAACCTACCAGCACGTCACGGCGAACACATGTCAAGTGGCGCCGCTACATGTGGGCTTTGTACAGTGTCAGTGTGCTTGTCGTTGTTCGGAGCATTTTCCGGCTGGCGGAGTTTATCGAAGGGCCAGAGAGTAAGGTGTATCAGACAGAGGCGTACTTGTATGTCTTCGATGCGGCGCTCATGTTCGCGGTGGTGGTCATCATGGCGGTCTTTCATCCGGGGTTTCTGTTCAGGGTCGTCAGAAAAGCTGAGTTGATGCCACTTAGTGATGACGAGGGGAATGGCAGCTATTTACTGCGCGGAGATGGTCCAAGATAGTTTCTCCGAGTGGATGACAGATGTACAGTATCTAGAAGGTGGTAGAGTAGACAGTAGAATGCCACTCTCGTCGGCCGTTTTGTATACCGGGTTCCATCCAAGCACCCGAGAACTAATCAAACAGCTTACCAAGCTCTCAATTACTGCCAGTGTGATGATCAACTGAGTGATACCGAATGCAGATATGGTATCAATGGTGTCAATGTTGTGGTCATCTTGGCGAAGAGAGATTGGAGTGAATTATCGGCCGCAAAGGTTGCGACAGCAATGAAGGGTCAAATACTGCCTGAACTCCATCATGAGCTTCTTAGCTCACCTTGGCAGTAACGCAGAGTTCCGAGGGTATATAAATATAGGGTTCACCGTACCCAGACTCTCACTACCCCGCGCACAATCTCTACTCCACGATGTCGATATACATGATGTCGGGCTCACATAGTTCCTACACGCCACCATATCCTCATCAGTACTATTCCTCCCTGCCTTCGCGGCCCCAGGATGCCGCCTTCAATAGCCCAGTGCAAAGTTCCGTCAAGGCCTTCAACGTCCCAGTCTCTGACCATACCCTCGAGTACCGAATTCTAGAGCTGCTACAACCTTTTCGGGACACCAGCAGTCTCTTGAACGCCACTAATGAAGCCAAGAACGTTTTATTGCTGGCTCGTAAGTACAACTGTCTTTGAGTCTTTTCGGAGCGATCTTTCCTCCAGGGTATTGTTGTCAATACTTGAAGTCGATTGTGCTGCACGCGCAATCCCACCACTGGCTATTTCTTCCACCCATGTAAGTAACAAAGCTAAGAGATCTGTCAGAAAATATCGCCTCCATCATTGTCAGCAAACAGTCCAAGGATCTCTCCAAGGCGGGAATAACCGATGTGTATATCATGAGCCGCAACTTGAACACCACCGCAGTCAACGGTACCGCCGCCAGCGGTCCGGCGTATCTCCGCATCTTCTTCCATATCGACTACCAATCGATTACAGTTGTTAAAGCGAAGATCGAGAACGGGAAGAACGCGATCGGTGCGCTTATCGACGAGGTGGACAAGGTCATAGAGAGCCTCATGGAAGACTCATAGTGGTTGTTTGAGGTATGCATGTCGTCGGGTGGTCGAGAGGAGAAGGAGACGAATTTTGGCGCCCGAGTCCATGGGTGACTGCTACATCGCTGGATAGCTCCTAGTCAACTTCAGGGCTTTGTAGAAACTGCTATATTGTGTAGATAATGGCTGGTCGGCGTCTGCAGCAATCAAAGTACTCCCCTCTTCTGTCCACGGTCGCCTCGCCTTCTTCTGGGCTGTAACCCAGGTATGATCCGCCTGCTTGACACTTCCGACATACTTGTACGACAGCATGTTCGCATCAAGTACACGCTGAGAACTCTAACGACACAAACTTTCCCGAGCTTAAGCAATGCGGCGATGCAAGGCATAGACTTTAGGGGCAAGTTCTTTGACGTTGAGACGACACTACGACGCTAGTAGGGATAGCCGGTGCGGCTATGGTGTGGTCGGACACATCGTTGACTTCTGAACTAACCCTCCGATGGTTCGTGCATTTGACAACTTTGTACATGATTAATCGGAACGTCCCGAGTACAGGGACAGGAGCAAGATGGTATCTCAAACTTTTAGTAAGAGCGTTTTGTAGGTTGAGGCACAAGTAGCGCCTGACAGGCTTAGTGGATCGGCTGATCTACGCCCTAGCACGCAGGCACGTCGACCAGTTCTGTACAAGATCGGTCAGGGCGGGCAGATCTGAAGGGAGAGCGCTTCCAGGATTGGCCTTGTCTGGAATTTCCCGGTTTCCGCACTTCACGTGCTGGGGTCGGAGCCGTTTGATGCGTGTGTGGCGCGCACGAACTTGGGAACGTGAGGGCGACGCGCCAGCAGGACCCATTGAAGTAGACGGGCGGCGAATGAGCAGGCGCCCCACGAGATTGCATCGTGAACTCGAAGATGGACGTCGTCATCGTGCGAGCGGTGTGGCCGGCGGTACTCGCGCTAGCCGTCTAGCGTGTCGCCAAGTAAAGCTTGGTATCCCAGGTGTGGCGCAACGAACTAGACAGAGCGACAGGAAAGGAGAGCATCACGGACTCCGCGAGGGGGTGAGAAGGCGTGTGCAAGCAGAAAGTCCGCAGGAAACGGGGTTGTCTAATACATGCAGGGAAGAGTTTGCTAGGCTGGGCGGCGCCACACTTCGCATCAGACAGAATCGAGATTGCTAGGTGTAGCGCTGTCGAATTACCCATGACGCAAGCGGGACACATGTTTTGGCATCCTTTGGGAAACCTGGCGCCGATCGAACCCCCAAACATACCTAGAGGCTCCGTCATACAGGCCAGAGCGACCTCGTTTGGGCGTGGCAGGCCTCGTGCCCCAGGCAAAACGTGGACAGTTGTGGCATTGGACGGCACGTCGTCAGGGAACTGGGCTGCCGCGTTCTGTGAGCGTGTCCGCGGAATTCGATCGCTGGCAGCGGGAAAATGGTGGCCGGTAGTCGCGGGGTCAGGCAAGTTGGTCGTGGTCGGTCGCTGTTCCAAGTCCAGGCTCTTCGCAAGCGGCAAGCTACGACGCAGTGACGTAGTTGCTGCAATCGCGCGTGTTACCCAGCCAGCCCAAATACAAAGCTGCTTTCTGCCCTCACCCGCCTCCCTCCCACACAAACCACTTTGATACCCATCCCCTCGAAATACCCATCCACCCTACCTCCATTGTTTTCCGCTCTGCGTCTGCATTTTGATACCCCACCTTGATACCCACAGAAGCAGTCCTACACCATGAGTTCCGTAAATCGTATGTCTAGCTACCCCGCTTTGCCCCCAAACATTGCTAACAGACTGCAGGTCCGGTGGACTTGAAGCAGAAGGAGAAGGACGTCAACAACAAGCTACAGCTGTACGGCATCTTCGAGGGTATGTGAACACGTGCAATGGCGCGTCGATGCCCTTCGCGTCGCACACGCACATGTAAACAAGCGCTGACCACAACTAGCCTTCTCTAACGGAAAGGTCCCCTCCAACCAGCAAATCGATGTCGCGCTCAACTCCGCGCTGGCCCACAGGTCGCTCAACTCACCATCCAAGAAGCTGTCGAGCGAGGGTCAGCATCTGGTGACCGACCTCAAGAAGGTCATCGAGCAGGCCAAGATCCTACTACTCACCAAGAACGAGGGCAACCTCCTCCAGGACTTCATCTGGCAGGCAGAGCACCTCGGTGGCAACAGCGCCGCCCTCCCTAATGCCCCTGTTGATAAGGACACAGCGAAGCAGCACGGAAACGAGGCGCTTGACGGTCTACGGACTCTCGGTACCCTCCTCATTTCCAACGGCCAGTTCAGGAAGTTGCTTTCAGATGCCACCGTTCTGCTTCGTGACATGGCTGGCGATGCCGCCCAGAACACCGCCAACAAGGTCAAGCCCTCAGAAGACCGTCTCAACAAGCTAGATGAGCCTGCCGAGGACAACACTTGGCACGACACCTCCGACCTGAACCGTGAGAACCTTCGCAACCAAGCTAAGAGCAGTCTGCCCTTCGGCAACAAGAACAAGGACGAGGCCAAGGGTGACTTGAAGGAGCATGCCAAAGACATCAACCAGGCTGCCAACCCTGATGGCTCGCGCGACCCCCAGCACACCGCCCAACTTGGCGCTCACGAGGGTCAGACTGGCCAGAGCACTGGCGTCGACGCCCGTGGTGCTCTCGATGCTGCCAAGCAGAAGGTTGACGCGAACACTTCTGAGGAGGACAAGAACATGGCCCGCGCCCGTCGCGACCAGATGAACAACTACCTCAAGGGCAAGATGCCTGAGGAGCGCCGCGAGCAGACCATTTGGCGTCTTAAGAAGATGGTAGTCGAGATTCAGGGCCACCAGGACTACCAGCGTGCCATCGAGACCCTACTCAACCTGGCCGAGCAGTACTCTGGCCATGGTAAGAACCTTGGCCAGCAGGGCAAGGGTTCTGTTCAAGGTGCGCATCAGAACGATTCCCTAACTACTGCTGAAGCTGATCTCAAGGTGCGTATTTAGGCTTCCTCTCGGAAAACAAATGGCTGACCAACATGAAGACTCTTCTTGAGCGTTTCGCAAACAACACCTCGTTCGATGACTTGATTGAGTCCATCAACCAGGTCTACAAGGACGCCGACCAGGATCCAGAGCTCAGGAACTGGTTCACTCGCATCAACCAGTTCATCCGCAAGACTCTCCAACAGCAGGGCTTCATCCTCGAAGACCGTAGCAACGAGGAGTGGAACCAGATCTACGATGACGGTCACCGCCTCCTTCGTGGCCGCTACCGTGGACACACTGACCGCATCGCCGACGAGTTCAAATTCGTTGGCGAGCAGTTCGACGCTGACCCGCAGAACAAGCAGTTCGCTGAGTCTGTCAACAAGCTCTTCCTTGACCTCGGTCAAGATGAGAACGGCCAGACTGTGTTCAAGCCCCACCTTCTCAAGGACCTGAGCGACGTCATCCTCCCGTCCATCTTCGAGAACGTCCGTTACGTCCCCATCCCGCGTATCGAATACAGCGACCCCATGGTCGACGCCGTCGTTGAGAACCTCGTCATCGAGGGTGATAACCTTGCTCCCAACTCTTTGGAGTTTGGCTCGGACAACTACTGGCGCTGGGGACGCAAGTCCATCTCGAGCAAGAACAAGAACAAGGTCATGCTCTCTGTCTCGGGTGTACAGATGGATCTCAGGGATGTTTCTTACTACATCAAGCGCAAGCAAGGCTTCCCATCCATCACCGACAAGGGTGTTATGGACATCTTCATGGGTGGCTCCGGCTTCAGCTTCAAGGTTGAGATGGAGACAGCTGACAAGGCCCGCGAGAACAACGCGCAGACCCACTTCTTCAAGGTCACCAAGGTTGAGTCTGACATTAAGAACCTTCAGATCAAGATGAAGAAGAGCAACCACAAGCTCCTCTTCAACATGTTCAAGCCCCTTCTTCTCAAGGTCATGCGTCCTGTCATCCAGAAGGTCTTGGAGAAGCAGATCAAGGACTCCGCCAACCAGCTCGACGGCCTTCTCTTCGACATCAAGACTGAGGCTGACCGCGCCGAGGCTGAGGCCAAGCGCAACCCCGACCCTCAGAACATTCAGAACATGTACCAGCGCTACGCCTCTGCTATGCAGCACCGCATCATGCAAGGCAAGCAGAAGAAGGAGCAGGTCAAGGAGAAGACCAAGGACACCCAGGTCAACATGGCTGTTACTCAGCACGACTCAATCTTCAAGAACATCTCCCTACCCGGCGGTATCTCTTCCAAGGCTACTGAGTACAAGGAGCTTGCCGGCAAGGGCGAGAAGTGGGAGAGCCCCATCTTCTCTATCGGCTCCGCCAAGGAGACTTCCAGCCTGCCTCAGGTTGGCAAGGTCACTCGCAAGCCCCACGGTCGCGCAGGCGGCTACGGTAGCACCAGTGAGGAGTCTCGCGGTCTTGGAGCCTCGCAGGGCATCAACCCATCCGCCAACCAGTACGACAGCCAATACACTAACGCTGGTGGCCTCGGCGGTGGTCAAGGCGTTACCACTGGTCAGGGTCTGATGGGTGGTGCTGCTGCTACTGGTCTCGCCGGCGGCGTTCCTTCCACCACTGGCACCCAAGGCTTCGGCACTCAGGTTGACGATGCTTTCAACACCACCGGCACCGCCGCACCTGTTGGATCGTCTGGCCTCGGCTCCACTGGTCTTGGTTCAACTGGTCTGAACGACCCTACTGCCACAACTACTTCAGCAACTCATCCCGCTCACCCCACTGGTGCCCCGGCTCCCGGCGAGTATAACACTACCTTCGGTGACCAGAACCCCGTCTTCCAGGGCCGCGTTTAGATGCTTGTTCGTCGACCAGTGATACCCGATACGCTTGGGGCTGCGAGTCATGATTACGACTTTCCTACCTTTTGATCATGGATGATACCACGATTGCGCCACGGCGCACGCGCACATGAGTAGCAAATAGCATGTTTTCTTGGTTCTTCTTTCTTGCTTTCGGCGGATTATGAGTAGTGTAGGACGATTGCGCCCGTAATGGGGAGATGGTTGCCGGGGCGGACCCGAAGCTGTCAAAAGCTTTTGGTCAACGAAAAATTCCTAGTTTGTCGCTACTGCCGTGTTCCCGTAGTAATAGTTAATTAAATGGTGTTCAAAATTACTTCGTCTTTCTTCTAGTGAAAATTTTAAATATTCGATCGTGAGTTTCTACGGACCTCGCTCGGGTCGCATACTGCGGATTGGACTGTCACGTCACGGTCATGTCAAAGCACTTATGGAATAGATGATTTTCCTCACCTAAGCACAGTATGACTCCTTTTCGTTTGAGAAAACATCAACATTGGGTTTTAGGCCAAAACGAGATTTGAATTGCCGCAAGTTCTTTACCTGATCTCTATCTATACCTGTGACGTTTAAGTTTTTCCTCTTGCCGCCTCTCAATATTCTCCTCCTGCCTCTCAAGCTCCTCTTCCATTGCCTCATACTCCTGCCCTCTTCCCCTTCGTGGGTGGCCTGGAACTTCGCTTGCGCGATACGAAAAAGAGTCCCCAGATGGCATGCGGTGTCTGAAACTTTCTACAGGTTCATCTGCATAGTGGACGCGACGCACAGGTGCTCTTTCGTAGAACCGGTCGCGACTCTGGCTTCGACTTCGGCCAAGGCTCCAACTACCGCTCCGTGACCTGCCACGTCGGGAATATTTGGATTTCAAGTCGACATCACCACCGCGTGTGGACGTGTACCATTCGTCGTCGTCGTCAGAGTATGTCAAGAGCTCCGAGCGTTGGCGAGTATATGGTTGTTTGACCCATTCTTCGTCGTCGTCTTCGTCAGAGTATGTCAAGAACTCCGAGCGTGAGCGAAAAATTGTAGCATTTGGTCGTGGTCGCGGCGGAGGTGGTGGTGGGATATGACCGTACTCTGCAAGTCTGCGCCGACTGGCGTCATCTGCATATGGACTGAAACCGTCGACAGGATCGCCTAGACTGAATGGGTTGGTCGAGTTGGTGTAGCGACTTTTTGTTGTTCCCATTCGACGAGGGTGGTCTCGCACAACATGTATGTTGGGAGTTAAGTATGGAGATTCTTCGTAGTCATTACGTGACGATCTTCTGTAGAGCACGTGTGGATCTGAGTATAGTGATTGCCGGCGTGCTTCTATTGCTAGGTGTGCCGGTGTGGGGTAAGAATCTTTTCTCTTCGACGCAAAACCACATGGAGATGGTCGAGGAAGATGCGCGGACTTGCTGTACTGATCCAGCAACCTAGGGTGGTCTCGCACATACCACTCGTCAAAATCATCATCGCCATAACTCGCTCTGTATAGATCACGCCGTCGACTAGGGAAGTCGTGGTAAGCTGCGCCAAACGGGTCAATGATGCTGTCTAAACCGCCCTTGGATTTGGACGGTCCTTGGCGTTGCGCAACGGTTATACTAGCGGCTTCTACTGTATCTCTCTCTTTCCTCATCGTTTTGCGGTACATGGACGATAATAGGTCCCGTATGCTATCGCCATTGTAACCGATCAGTAAGCAAGAGCCTACGGTGACGCAGGTTAGTGGTATGGCAACGCTCCAGAAGACAGCTTGTGTTTCGTCCATGTCTCTGATGTCAGAGGCATTCATACCGAAGTAGCTTGTAACGAATGACAATGGCAAAAAGATGACTGTAACGACGGTGAAGACCATGATAGCCTTTCCATGATCTTCTTCGTTGATCTCCAAGATCTGTTTCGTGCGATCGGAGAGCGGGGCGCAACGTCGCATTAGATCAATGTAATCTAGCCGGACTAGGGAAAGGTGATCTAGGCAGGCCCTTCCCAGAGCTTTCTCGTAAGGATGCATAGCCCGACGAGATGGGCTTAGCTTCTCATATGTGTTGTCATCGATGACCTTCAGATAATTTCGTACCAGATTGGTCTGCCAGGTGTTTACTAATTGTAAGACTTGTAGCTCTTCTTGAATCAAGTTGATGGCGCGCAGAAGGCGCTTGCTTGGTCTGTGATTGATTTCGAATTGCTAGTACATGTTAGTAAAGTCTAACAATGTATCACGGCGTATTCTCGCTGCTGTCGAAGCGTGTATAGCTCCTCACTTCTTCTCTCAGACATGTAGTGTTGGAATTGAATGTACTTACAACTTTGGAGACGTACACATGATACATGTCGCCGATAGTCTTGTCCTGCTCGAGAGGCTTCATCAGCAACCCTCTCATAAACCATAGAGACACATATTCTGGTCCCAGGGAAAGATGCTTGCGAAGGTTCAATGGTAACTCGGGTCTACCCATATCGCAGAACAGAAACCGAGCTTTGCGCAGTGATCGTCGCGCCTGAAATCCAAAGCGTCTGAGTACTTCGACATCTCTCGATGAGTATGGTCTGTTTGTAAGCTTGCGAGAATCCTGGAACCGAGGGTCGAGTCCATACGTCTTTTCATTCTCGTGCAAAGCTCGCTCGATCGCCAGGTAGTAGATCAAAATCTTTTGAAATGCGTGAATCAGTTCTTGCGGCAGCGTATACAATGACGATAACTGTCCATCCTCATTCTGAACACCTTCGGCAAGCTCTTTGGCTCGAACTAAAAAGTCTTTGGCGATCTCACTAGCATGTGTAAGAATCACCAAAGCGCTCGCATTCGTCAGTTCGCGCCGGTACTGTACGGAATTGATTATCCAGTCTTGCAGTTCTTCGAAACTCGGTATGTCAGCGTCAGGATGTGCAGTCCCAGCCGAATATTTCTCCACATGTCGCACAAGATGTTTCATTGCAGATGTTGCGCTACTGAATGGGCGTCTGCATCTTGCACAACGCTGAATCGACCTTTGCAGTGTTTTCCTGGATTCTGGGAGTGAAGATGGAACTTCCCAAGCGGAGGTGCGGATGGACCAGATACGGTTGTTTAGCATGTCAGGGTGTTTCCAATCGGAGTTCGTGTATTCCTCTGGGTCGGGCTCAACCGCTCCACGTTGCGCAATGGTCGTTACTTGCTGATGGATGTTTTGCATTGCGCCCGATAGCTTTCGAAGCATGCTGCTACTATCTAGGTCATCTACGAAAAGACCTAAAGTTTTGCAGACAGTGTCGAGAAACTCGACTGATCTTGTCAAAATCTTACTGCAGTGAGTGGTGACAATCATCTTGTGGTTTATGGAACCCGACTCCGGTAGAGGCGTTGCTTTGACAAGCTCATGTAATTCGGACCGTCGCGTGGAAACGCCTTCACATACCGTCTCTGGCAAGGAGTGGTAGTAGTTGGTTGAGGTGAAAGCATCTTCTACAGGACTGGTTGAACGAACAAGAGACCTCGACGTCATGAGCTTCTCCACGTAGTCCAGGCAGGCGATGGACCGGTCTTTCCCGGTGGTACCGAGTAATACCGGCTTCCCACTTCTATGAGAAAGATCGTTGGTCTTAGACTGCAACCAGTGAAAGAAGGGCGGAACACACTTGGGGGGGCCGACAGCCGCTAGTTCTGCGGTCGAGGCTTCTTCATCTCTTCCGTCACGAATCTGGTCGTATGGAATCGTAATGGTGATCGAGACAAGCTGGGCTGCTCGAGAGACGATGGTTTTCCAGTTCCCGGCCCCGACTATAGTACCTCCATCCACATCGTCGACTTTCAAGTTGATCCCTTCGCCAACAAGGGGCCCCTCAAGAGAAGAATTGCTGTGGAGAATTCGCGATTCCAGCTGGAAATAGGATCTGAAATCACCTATGGGATATATGAGGCTGCTCCCGTCGCGATTGGTGATGTGAACCTTGGTCAGAGTGTTCTTTGTGATGCTCTGCCTGCCAATAAGCCTAATATCTTCTTCAACAATGCCGATCGAATTTTTCATTGCTATAGGCAGAGTCTCGTGTCCGTATGTCACAATAGCAGTAGATCCAATGTTAATGATCCACAGGCCGGGGACATGAACGATGTTATTCATCGGATCATTGCCAAACCTCCTGTATGACTGTTCCTCATCTCTTTCACGAACAGATTCATACGGATACAAAGCCTGCATCAAGGTACGTGGAGAGAACAGTGAATCTTCTTGCCCAGTAGTAGGCTTTGCAACTTGTTGGAGACCGAAGTAAGGTACGCAGCTGAAGATCACGGACTGGGTGTCTGTTGGATCGGATTCGTCGGCTCGAAGAACGGTCCCTGGCTCGATGAACCTACCGCCTACAAATGGCTTAATCTTTTCGCCTCGCAGTTTCAACAAGACCTCGCGGGTAAGGGCCTGTAGGCGGTCAGACAAATGTGGGATAGTGAGGCAGACGTTTTCGAAGCGGTCAAAGTCGAGATGACTACCATTGAGGTGGTACCATGTTGTTGCTATGCTTGTTCGCAATCGAGGGCTCGCCAGACTTGGTAGAGTGTGAATTTCAAGCATGTTCTGGGCGTCAGACTCGATCGCCATTGCTCTGGTGATTCTCCGTATCTCCAGATTCTTGTCTCCCGGTTCCTTCTTCTGTGCTCCCGGGCCCTCCTTGTTTTCGAGTTTATCAGATTCTTCACTCAAGGCGATGCTGCTGCTCAAAGGTTTGGTCTGCACCTGAAATGAGAGCCTGTTGCCCTCGATGTCCCTTGGATGCATCGCATAGCGGTTAGGCTGTAAAAGTGGGGGATCTCTCGGAGGCGTATCCTCTTCGCTGCTCAATGACCATGACTCGCTCTCACTAAAGTCTTCGGTGATGATACTGCTTTCTGATTCTTCGGGGGTTGAGACCCGGCGCGGGAGCTCAAATCTGAGCGCCAGTTCTTTTCTAGAACTATTCGTCCCAGGCTCTACACGTGAAGTGTTTTGTGGCTGGGATCGTGACGGTCGCCGGTAATTCCTCCATGAACGACCATCGTTGCGCGTGGTAGTGGGTTGCTGATGCCCCGCGCTGGTCGATTGAAGCTCTTGAGCAAAATCGATGGGCTCCTCGGTGAAGTAGTCGGCTATCCATTGAGAGTTTCCTGCGTCGTGGGCCTCGCTCAATGATACGTGTCGGGGCTGGTTTCCGCCCCCATACAAATCATCATGCGCAAGCTCATCAACGGAAGCTTCGCGCACCTCAGCCTGATACTGACGTGGGAGACGCGGCGTGACTTCAGAATCTTGCGTTTGGCCCTCCATAGATAGGTAATCTGGAAGTTGGCGGGCGGGATTGCGACGGCATGGGAGAGGCGACGAGAAGAAGACAAGGCAGACATGATGTGTGGGGGCCAAAAGCTGAGCTGAAGGAAGAGTGAGAGTCAGACGCTAGTATGTGCATGCAGTTGCAGATGGTCACCTCAGCCTCTCCGGGGTTCAGCTCGACTCCAGCCTAGCGTCTGCTTTGGTCAGCTATCGTGCCATCCTGATTGGCCGCAAAAGGGGCAAGCGCGCCGTCCCGCTATGCCTGCCTCGAACATGTGTTCTCCATCAGTCTAGTCGTAAATTCAAGAGACACAAGTTGTAGCAGTCGTCATATTGCATGGAAGTCGCGAAGTCATCAAACATAGTTATGAGATTTGAATTCAAGCCCAAATCAAGGGCGACAAGCATATTACAAAGGCTACTACTGTTGACGACAACATGAGGCAAGTCTGGACAAAGGAAACAATCTGCGAAGGAACATGCTGCAATATCCAATATCGTCGAGCAAAAGTATCCAACTGGTATCAAAGGGCCCCATCAATGGGCGGCGGTAAGGCTAAGTCGTAAATCGTGATGGTATCGTAAGGAGATAGGGTTAGAGAATGTTTGCGCGATTAGTGGTGGCGGTGGAAGGTCGGTTGGTGAGGGTATACGTGTGCCAGCGTATGTACAATTGTTGTCAGAGTAAATGTCGGGTATGTTGAGCGATGGTCATCTGATTGTGAGAGGCTGCTGAGCTGGCGCGATGGGTGACGGCAAGAACGATTGGGGTTGCTGCTGCGTGTTGATGGCGGTGGGGGTCGCCTGCTGTATGCGTGTCTGTGGTAACTCCTTCTTCTTAACCAGCAAGCTCTTGAATGCGCCGAGCCATTTGGCCAGCGAGTCTTCATTGGAAGCGCAGAATTTGTAGTTCTTCTCCTCAGATATGACCTGCATGCAGTACTGCTTGCTTCGCGAGACTGGGTCTATGTCGACAGCATCGATGATGCTGGAAAAGGGAATGATATGGGTCGCGGAGTATTCGTCGTCGTTTTTGTAAAAGGCAAGGCACTTTGGCCGCAGAACCACCCAGATCTTCTTCCACTGGCGCACGCCGCCTTTGGACTTGAGGACATATAGCCAGCCGTGGTAGACTACGCGCTCGTTGGTGGGGGTGGCGCCGATGTTGCTCTGCTGGCTCGCATTGCGCTGTGTTTGCGGCGTTCGCGGGAGAGACTGGGCGGAAGCTTGGTTGGTGTCGGAGAAGTCGAAATCGGAGATGGAGCCGCGCTCGCCGCCGGAGTAGTTGAGGGCTTGCGAGGGACGCCGGGCGCTGTGCATGTGCTCCGGGGCGATTGAGCTCGAGGGCCTCGGCTCTGTCTCGGAGGAGCTGGAGACGATGTTTTCTCTGGCCGCGCGACCGAAGCCTGAAAATGTCTTCCTCCCGGTGGTCGGGCTCATGACAGTCATCTCGGCCTCGTGCTCGCCGATGCGCGCCTCGGTGCGTATGAGGTGCACCCACTCCTGGGCGTCCTTGTCGGTGGTTGCGCCGAGGTGGTAGTTGCGGGCGGGCGAGAAGATGCCAAAGACATGCTCCATCTTCTTCTTCGAGTCTCGCTGGCGCGCGACGGCCGTGATCTCGGAGAGGTTGATCTGGTGGCGCAGCTTTGTCTCGTCCTTGTCCTTGTAGATGGAGAGGCAGTTGGGGCGCAGGACGAGGTAGACGGGCTTCCATTGCTGTGCACGTGTTAGTAGACGTCATGGCGTGCCTGTCGGCAGCGTGCGTGCATGCGTGCCTTTGTCTTGCGCGTGCGCTTCACGACGGTGCCGGCCTTGATGATGCGGTCGAACTCGAAGCAGCCGTTCTGGTTGACGGGCGACATGATGTCGACGCTGGCATTCGCGATCTTGAGGTTCTGTATATGGGGCGGGTCCAGCTTCATGCCAGCAGAGCGGATGGCCACGGGTTTGGCGGGCGTGTGCTGGCCGTCCAGTGTCGCTGCCATGTCGGCGGTGGGAGTCACATTCACGGACAGGCAGGCGGGGTCGATGGTGGTACGTATGGGTGAAGGCAGACAGGCGGGAGGCTATAGGGGCGTTGCGGTGCTCGAGCGCGGTCGTTATATCCAGACTGTTATTCAAGATCGGCAAGGGCGACAGGGGCGATGCATGGGCATGGGGCAGGCACGAACCACACCAGCAACGGCAGGCGCACAGGCTATAAGGACGTGGCCAGCACCAAGGCCCGAGTCGCAGTGGTGAGGTCAAACAAAAGACCGGCGACGATGATCCCACGACTAACACGCACGCGATGCGACGCGACCGCAGGGTGGCCGTTGGGCGTCTGTCGCCGTCAGCAGGGTCTGATGTCAGGGTGCAGCTTGCCCATGAGCCATAGTGACGCGGCGGGGTGGTAGCGCCTCTGTTTCATCCAAATCTTCAACGCCCATCCCAAACCACACAACGAATCTGTAACCTCAACCACTGCTGCATCCCCTCCACCCCTCCAATTTGCCCTTTTTGGCCTTCGCGCCTCTGATCTGCAGCGAAACGGCCTTGCCCGCGCCCGACTGGGTCACATCGACACGCGAAACACGACAACCGCCTCAGCAGTTTTAGCTCCGAGTCTCGACCACGCTCGCCCAGGATGCCCGTCGTTCCGAGCGACAAGCTGGTGTCGCTGCAGCAGGCGGCTGATGGCATCAGGAACATTTGCATCCTCGCTCACGTGGTACGTTGACTGTCCGCGTGACGGCGACATGTGCTGAATGCAGCAGGACCATGGCAAGACGTCCCTCACCGACGCCCTCATCGCCACCAACGGCATCATCTCCCCCAAGCTCGCCGGCAAGATTCGCTACCTCGACTCGAGACCGGACGAGCAGCTGCGCGGCATCACCATGGAGTCGTCCGCCATCTCGCTATACTTTTCCCTGCTGCGACGGTCTGCGCCCGAAGCACAGCCAGAGCAAAAGGAATTCTTGATAAATCTCATAGACTCGCCCGGACACATAGACTTCAGTTACGAGGTCTCTACAGCATCACGTCTCTGCGATGGCGCTGTCGTGCTCGTAGACGCCGTCGAAGGCGTGTGTAGTCAGACTGTCACAGTCCTGCGACAGACATGGATAGAGAAGCTGAAGCCCTTGCTCGTCATCAACAAGATGGACAGGCTAATCACAGAACTGAAGATGAGCCCTGGAGAGGCATATACACATCTGAGCAAACTGCTCGAACAGGTAAACGCCGTCATGGGCAGCTTCTACCAAGGCGAGCGCATGGAAGATGACCTCCGATGGCGCGAGAAGATGGAAGAGAGACTAAATGCTGCAGCTGAGAAGACTGACTCAAGATCCTCATCCATACTAGAAAACGGCGACAGCATAGACACCACCAACACGCCCGCCGAGTACGAGGAAAAGGATGACGAGGACATATATTTCGCCCCAGAGAAGAACAACGTGATTTTCGGCAGTGCCATCGACGGCTGGGCATTCACGGTAAGACAGTTCGCCAGCCTGTACGAGAAGAAATTAGGCATCAAGCGCTCCATCCTCGAAAAGGTACTTTGGGGCGACTTCTACCTAGATCCCAAGACGAAGCGCGTGCTCAGCTCCAAGCATCTCAAGGGCCGCCACCTCAAGCCCATGTTCGTTCAGCTCGTCCTAGACAATATATGGGCCGTATACGAAGCCACTACAGGAGGTAACAACGGGAAGGGGTGCGTGGATTTCCTTCCCTTGCGTGATTTGTCTGCATGTATCATAGCAATATACTTATACCTTCCATTACAGAGATCCTGCCTTGGTTGAGAAGATTACCAAATCGCTCAACCTTAATCTTCCAGCACATATCATGCGCTCGCGCGATCCGCGCGCACTCCTAATGGCACTCTTCGCAGCTTGGCTTCCGCTATCGACCGCCTTACTAGTTTCCGTCACCGAATACCTGCCTCCACCCTCGAAAGCGCAATCCGAGCGCATGCCTGAACTCATCGACAGCTCCCCGGGCGCCGACTACGTTGCACCAGAGGTGCGCGACGCCATGACTAGTTTCAAGGCCTCCAAGGACGATCCTGTCGTAGCCTACGTCAGCAAGATGATCTCCATACCCTCCAGCGAACTACCACAGAACAAACGAAGAGGTGGTGCGCTCACGGCTGAAGAAGCCAGGGAGATGGGGCGAAAGAAGAGAGCAGAGATCGCCCGGCAGCAGGCTATCGCCAACGGCGAGGATGCCGATGTCGGTAGTGTCACCGACGCTCTGAGCTCTGCCGCCATCGGCGAGACTGAGACGCCTGTCGAAGAGACACCAGAGCCGGACGTAGAAGCCGAGCATCTCATCGGATTTGCACGTATCTTCTCCGGCACTCTGAGTGTCGGCGATGAAGTCTACGTCCTCGGCCCGAAGTTTACCCCAGCCAACCCACATGCCGCTCCGGAGCCGCAGAAAGTCAAGATCACTGCGCTATATCTGATGATGGGGCGAGGCTTAGAGCCTCTCACAACTGTGCCCGCTGGTGTCGTTTTCGGTATCGGTGGCCTCGAGGGTCACATCTTGAAGTCGGGCACGCTATGTTCTCAGCTTCCCGGATCGCTCAATCTTGCTGGTGTTCAGATGGGTTCAGAGCCTATTGTGCGTGTTGCGCTCGAACCCGAGAACCCCTACGATCTAGACAAGATGATCAAGGGTCTGAAGCTCCTCGTTCAGAGTGACCCATGCGCAGAGTACGAGCAGCTGCCAAGTGGAGAGCATGTCATTTTGACAGCCGGTGAATTGCATCTTGAGCGATGCCTGAAGGACCTCAAAGAGCGATTCGCCAAGTGCGAGATCCAGGCTGGTGAGCCCATCGTACCATACCGAGAGTCGATCGTGGCTGCAACAGAGATGAACCCGCCAAAGGACCCCAACCTACCACGAGGTACTGTTGTTGGCGAGACAGCTAGCAAGCACGTTTCTGTACGCCTTCGAGTCCGGCCACTACCAGCCAGCGTCACCGAATTCCTGGGGAAGAATGCAGGTGCTATTAAGAAGCTGTACTCTGATCGACGAGCCGAAGACGAAGGAGAACATGCTCCACATCATGTACATGGCGTCGAGGACGATGGCATCCAAGAAGCAGAACAGCGCGAAATCGGGCAGAGCCTGAGTTTCGAGGAGTTCAAGAAGCAGCTCAAGGAAGCGTTCGCAGAGGCGAAGGGACAGAAGGAAATCTGGACCGAAGTCATTGAGAAGATCACCGCATTTGGGCCTCGTAGGATAGGACCGAACATTCTCGTCGATGCGACCAAGGATGGGATATGTGGTAGAGCGTGCGTACACCTGTCTATGTCTTCACTTCATTACTAACTCTTTGCAGGCTCCGCGAATCAACATCCCCAGACGCTGACGCAGACAACCCCGCCGATCGCACCATTTCCGCACGCACCTTCTCTTCTACAATCTCATACGCATTCCAGCTTGCCACCGCGCAAGGCCCCTGTTGCGCCGAGCCTGTTCAGGGCATCGCCGTCTTCCTTGAGGACGTCATACTCAACATCCCCGATGACGAGAGCGCACAAGACCGCGGTCGCTTGACAGGTGAAGTCATCAAAGCCGTACGCTCATCTATCCACCAAGGCTTCCTGGATTGGTCGCCTCGCATGCTTCTCGCAATGTACAGCTGCGAGATTCAAGCCTCCACCGATGTCCTTGGTCGTGTCTACGCAGTCTTGACACGCCGCCGCGGAACCATTCTGTCCGAAACACTCTCCTCTACTTCCTCTGCGTCCACTACTGGATCGCAGACTTTCACCATCAACGCGCTCCTCCCCGTCGCCGAATCTTTCGGCTTCAGCGACGAGATCAGAAAGCGAAGTTCTGGCTCTGCGAGCCCGCAATTGCGCTTTGCTGGCTTTGAGATGCTGGACGAAGACCCCTTCTGGGTGCCGTTCACCGAAGATCAGCTCGAGGATTTGGGTGAGTTGGCGGACCGAGAGAATGTCGCCAAGCGATACGTAGACAAGGTCAGGAGGAGAAAGGGATTGAGGGTTGCGGGTGAGAAGGTGGTTGTTGATGCAGAGAAGCAGAAGACGTTGAAGAGATAGGCTGGTGTTGTAGGATACAAAAGGAACACGGGGCGATTAAGAGTATGACTTAACGATCGTGGCGACGACCATGGCGAAAGATGTGATGAATCCTCGTTCAATCGATAAGGCGCACGTGACGTTTCACCAGGGCATACATAAAGTCCCCGGAGTCCTTTCACACTTTTCTCTCCTGCACACAAATTGTACCAAATTCAAAAGGATACGCGAAAGCATGTCTGCGCCTTCTCAGGTCTTCTTTCTAAAAGGCTGTTGTTTCCCCGTCATGTGTCTGCCTCGCCCTCGTTCCTCTTACACCAAAATGGATAGAAACCTCGGCCATGGTGGGCCTGGTATTTGGGTTCCTAAAATATCAGAGAATCGGCCTGATGGGATTTCTAAGGCGTGCAACGAGTTCAAAATTTGGCAACGAGCGATATGAGGTCGTGTTTCGGTTGTTATCGACCGATGAAAAAATGTCGCATGGCTTGCCCGATGGCTGCGTTTCTTCTGGTCTGCACTATGAAGTCTGAATATAACTACAAAAGCACTTTGCAAACTGTAAAGAGCAATACCTGCGAGCTACGCGGTTTATCGTGTCCTTTCTCTCTTTTCCAGAGTCGAGACATCAAAATTCTGGCTCAATAACAAGATGCTGCGCTGCTCCGCGCTTTCTTAAAAAACTACAAGCACACGATTAATGTGTCGCGTCCTTGGCTAGGAGATGTACAGATATATCTTTCAGCTGGAGACCACTGCGACACCTTTCACTCGCTTGGCAAAAACACACAAGGACACTGCTATGACTTTGTAATCATCTTCGCTCTTTTCTCAAATCAGAATAGTAGCTGCTCATGACTTTCGCTGGGTTGCCTGGAACAAAAGCATACAACCTTGGAAGATATTGTTCATGTGCTGTCGCGCCTGTCGCTCGTTCGTGATAAACAGCACAACCAAAATGGACAGCTTCATTGTTGATGTGTATCAAGAGCTCTACTTCATGACATTTGCGAAGAAAAGCAAAGGACAACTGTCATCCATATGAAAGTGACCGTGCGTCAGACGGAGGGTATAAGACACTGCCCGTCTATTGTTCCTCTTCTCCTCCTCATCTTCATCATTTCCTGGACTGTCAGACCAAAATCGGTGCTGGAAACTTCCATGTCCTGCGTCCTGTTTCTTTCTGAATCACCGCCGCTGAACCTCATGTTTTGTGCCTCTTATCAAAACGTTATAGCACAGTACTATGACCATCTCTCGTTATTTGCTTTCTCTGAAACTTGACTACAATAGCACAGATGACATTGTTATGTGTTGCGGAAAAGAGCGGTCATACCTACAAATCGTCGCAAGGAAAACCCACTCATTGATTGTACCCTCGCTCGTGTACTGCCCACAGAATACTACCAGACACACTCTAGGATAGCGCATGTTACCATGCTCTAGCGGCAATGACACGGTTGGCCGGACTATATAATCTCATCCTCGGGTGCAGCTTTCTTTCCCAATTCAATTCTCTGCATATGCAAAACTTCAAAATACCAATCAACCTTAGAATGTCCTTTGGTCTTTTCTCTCGTTGCAGAATCCAAATACTCGCCAGCAAGAGCCCATGTGCAATTCCTGTGGCTTTTGAAAATACCTAGGTAACCTCGGAAGCTTAAAACCCATCATGATTCTCCTTTCTGGCCGTGTTCATATCCGTACTCTGAATGCTCCACTACCAAATCACGCGGCAAGTCATCACATAACTCTTGTCCGGCCTGGAGTTCTTATTCAACAAACTTACTGAGCACCGAGTGTATAAAAACCACGACTGAGCTCCCTCTTCACCTCTCCATCTACACACCCCTATTATTCTCCACAAAATACTCTGGAAGAGCTTTCGATGTTCTGTTCCTTCTTCTCAAACACTTCGCCCAACACTTCATGCGTCGGTGGCCTTGCCTCTTAAAAAACGGACTTGTTGCCTAATGATCGAGAATCCGGCGCTCCAACACCACCTAGGTACGAAAGATATGGCCAGACCTAAACAGGTAGACAAAATGTACATGATCTTCCGTTCTGGAGACGGCAGCTATAACTACCCACCCATATCACCCATTCTACCCGTCATCTTCAGACGATCTGCCGAAACTATATACCAAAAACATTCCTTCCACAGTAATGTGCTCTTGCTCACGGCAAAAAGCAAATCTCCAGTAGTCAATGTCATCTGCCCAAGCCTCTTCTCAAGGACGTTATGACCTTCTGTGCGGATTCGACGTTCGTAAAAGTGCCCTGACTGTGCCTGTAACTTCCAAAAATGATGATACCAACGCCTATGTGTGTCAAAAAATATGGCGGGGCTTTCCATGGCATGAAGCAAACCGACCCTTTGCCAGGAAACTGAAGAGCCTGTGGGAAGACTCTCGACATGACGTTCTGTAGAGTCGCTTTCGTGGGGTCACGAACGAATGTGTTGTTTAGTACGGACCTCACATCACCCAGGTCTTTCCAGGAGACAAGAATCTCATGTGCCAGATAAAAGCAGACACCGTGCTTTTCTTTTCTCAAGTTCTACGTGTCTCACTAGAACGAGCATCTAGACAAGTTAAACGCGGAAAGCGGCTCGAAACCGCGGCCCACAGAATGGTATCGCGTGTGAATGTTTTCCCTTCCCATAACCATATCAACCAGAGATGTAGACAACCATCCCATCTCCGTGAAGTTTTCGTAACATCGTGGCATTCCAGCCTACCATGAAACCTTGACACATTCCTCATATCAAAACTCATCACGTTTCCCGTCCGCTTGACCCAGGACACATAGCCTAGGCACTACCCGGCGGCCCGCCCATGTTCAGAAGGATATCTAGCATGTCCATACCACCGATATCCGGTCCCATGGCCGTCTGGTTGATCTCCGCACCCCACTGATCCAACAAAGGATCAAGTGGCAGTGCAAGCCAATCCTGATCTTGCCCAGCGCCCCAGCTCGCACCACTATTCGCCCACTGACTCCAGTTGGTGTTGTTGTTGCCGTTGGAGTTGGAGTTGTTTGTATTGTTGTTCTGGTAGTTCTGATAGTTGCCAGGCGGTGGCATGATGCTGATGGAGTTGCTGTTGGGGTCGTAGGGTTCGGCTGAAATACCCCAAAGAGGAGTTGCGCGACCACTTGCACCGAGGCCCATGCTAGGGGAGCCGGGCACGCTGGTACCAGTACCAGAAAAACCTGTTTGCTGAGATCCCATGTATGCCGGTGCAAGATGGTTGGTATTGTTGAGTGGAGCGGGCGGAGGCATCAACGGTGCCTGGTTCGGGCTCTTGCTGCCAGCGCGGGATATGCCACTCGAACCGTTGGCAGCCAGGCGCACGAAGCGCGAACGGATGCGGTGGGTCAGGGTTTCGACGAGGTCAGCGAAGCGGTTACCGACGTGCACATCGTCGACTATGCTCGTTCGTAGGGCATCAACTGAGTCGCTGAGCAGGCTAAGGCTGACGGCCACGTCTTCTTCGGTTGCGCCCAACGCAAATGTCTTGAGCAATATTATGGCCACACTGACGATGCGGAAGAACGTGCGCACTGGCGCATGCCGTAGATAGCCACCCGGATGCAGACCCTCCACCACGACTTTCAGTACGTTGCGTGACGCATCGATGACTTCGTTGATGTAGTGGCGATCGTTCGCGTACCACTTGACGAGTGTACTAAAGGGAATAGCGCCGCCGTCATCGTTACCGGTGCCATTGCCGTTGCTATTTGGAGTGCGTCCGTTCATGCCGTTGGGCTGAGCATGTGTCTGTAGCGGAGTGTTGTGTGTGCAGCGTTCTACCACCGCCTGGAGAGCGAGCGAGTTGAGATATACACGCGTGTACTCAAACTCGATGATGAGGACGTGGCGGAGTTGCGCCGGAACTAGAGGTTGTTAGACAAAGTGTGTGAGCAGTGCAATAGTAGTCCTACCTTGAGGGGCTCGGTCGAAGCATTTCCTCCATTCCACCAATGGCCCTTGAAAGAACTTTAGCATCTCTTCGTAGCCTCCCGACTTGAGCAACTCCCTGGTCTTGCGTCGATTGGAGAACAACTTCAGGTTTCCCATCTCCATGACCTTGGCAATGCGGGCCCAGAAGTCGAGCACAAGATCTTGGACAGCATGGCGTTCCTGTGTAGCGATGGACTCGAGTGGAAGGCGCTGGCCATCTGAGCGCATTCCAAACTGAGCTGGAGGAGCCTTGATGCGGCTGATACGCTCTTTGTATAGCTCAAGTGGCGAGGGCCCGCCGACTAGGTTCTCATCCCGCTCAAGCTTGGGAAGCATTGAGGTGAGACCTAGTCTGCCACTGGTCTGGGTGACGTATATGATGAGCAAGTCGCGGAGATGGTTCTTCCTCCGGTAATAGGCCTTCACTGTCGCATGCGAGAGGTGCTGATTTGCCTCTTCGAACTCGGTCTCGTTCGTCTCGTCGAAGACACCAATCTCGAACGCGAGCGTCATGGCGTTGCCCAGCAGCATCCAGCACATGCGGTCACTGCGCCAGCACGGCTCCAGCCAACTATCGATGCGCTTATCGCCCACGCCTTTGTACATATCAGCCTTCGGTCCTGCCTCGTAGGGATCGTCGGGAAGAACGAGCTCGTCATCGTCATCGCCAGGAGGGAAGTGCAGCGCGCGAGGATGCCATTCAGTAAGGAGCATCAGACTCTCGACTGTGCCAAGTGTACGAAGGCCCTTCCGCGACAGAGGGTTCACATCGGATCCAGGCTGCTGGCCTGCGCCACAGAAGCCGCCGCCGAACTGCTCTTGTCCGAAGATCATGCGATCTATCATGCCCTGCAGGTACTTCCATAGCTTCTCGTGGATGAGGTATGATCGAGATGTTGCGCCAACACCGCTCGAGCCGCTGGGTTGAGAATACCTCGCCGAGATGGTCAGTAGGGTGATGACCAGCATAGGCTCCTCCTTAAGCAGCTTCGCGTGAAAGGCATGATCGCGGTAGTCGGGCACGACGATGGGTGTGAGCGGCGATAGGAAGGCGTAGAAGTAGTCGATGTATGCGATTGCCTCTTTTGCCGTGAGCCATCCTGCGCGCACAAAGCGGAACTTCGACCAGGCTCTCACGGCGTCGGCGAAGGCAGCTTCGTTCGGCGGGTCGGGCAGCATGGGCTGCTGTATAGCGGGATCAACCGAGGGCTCGACGGTGGCGCGCGAGTTGGCGCGCGCATGGGAAGTGTTGGGCCGGGGGCTTGCGAAGTTGGTCTGCGAGCCTGGTGTGCTGCCAAGGGTCGGTCGCTGCATGCTCGAGCTGCTTCCGGTGCGGTGGTGGTTGTTCATGCCCGCCGCCTCGAACAGCAGGTTCAGCGCATCGTGGCCGCTGTAGACCTCGCCCGCCTGCAGCGTCGCGACCGTCTCGTTGTTCACCTTCTGGTCCTCTTCCTCGTTGGGCGTGGGCTGGTGGCCGCCCGACGTGTTCGGCCGTCGCAGCGGTTCGTATCGTCCGATGGAGCCGCCTGGGGTCAGAGGCTGCGATATGTACGCCGGGTTGGTCGTCGTGGTGATCAGAGGCTCCGGCAGGCCATCTGAGCGCTGGCGCTTCCGGCCATTGCGCAGCTCGTAGTCGTCGACCTCGTCATAGTCGTCCTCGCCGTCGGCCTTGCGCTTGCGGCGTGTCGCAGAGAAGAAGCACTCCTTACTCTCCCTCCTGCATCGCACGCAGGGCGGATCGTGTGGGTTATCTACCGGGCCAAGATCTGGAGATATCAGCAATTGCGCGATAAGCACTCTGCAGCGTCAACGTACCGCATCGCACCTTCCTGCGTCTGCACGGAATGCAGGCCTGGTAGGTGCGCGTGTGCTGGGCATTCTGCGTGCGCGGCGGTGGAGAAGCGTTGGAGCCCGCCGTCGACATGGTGGTGGTGGATTACGGTCGGCTTGCACCGGCTGAGAGCTGGCGGACTTTGGCTCTGATAAGGACTGGAATACCGCCGAGGCTCCTCAATCCAGCGAGACGGTACCTGCATGCAATGTGCTGCAAGTGTGCGCAACGGTAACGCCTACAGGAAGGTCTTCGTGTATGACTCCGCGTAATTCTGCTATTTGTTATCGTCGACTTGAGCTTACGGTACTGAGGCGTCGAAGGACTCGGGAGCGGGTCACGAGCGCGGGGGCTTTGGCTATTACGGAATGGCGTGTCCGCTCCTCCAATCTTGAACCACAACACCACGTAACAGTCGCAAACTCCCTCGGGCACCTCACGATCCACTGCCGGGTCACGCGTTGAGTGTGGCCGTGCAATCCGCTGCTTACGTCAGGGCGACCGATGCTTCCTGGGTGTACCTGCTGCTCGCGGCATGTGATCTGCTCGTGCACTCTGCGCGTGGCACAGCACCCAATCCGGCCAATGGGCAGTGAGCGGAGACCACGAACGTCATATCCGTCGTCTTTGTCCGTGTCTCGATCTGGCACGGTTGGTGGCTGGGATGTGTATTGTCGCTACTCACGCGTCACGAACAGCCCGAGGTCGCGTCTCGATGACATGCCATAGCTTCTACTAGCGCACAATTGCATAAGCATGTACCCGGGTAGGAAGGATAGCTACAGGCCTTGGACAGAAGATAGGATCATCTTTCAGCTGGAGATATGGATACATGCAACACCAGCACGCTTAGCACCTGTCAAGCCGGAAGACGATTACTTTCGTCATATCCTCCAACACCCTATGGCCACGCAATGTATCCTGACAGCCATCTCGGTCAATGCCAACATGATGCCAATGTTGCACCTTTCCAATATGCGATCGCTGGCTTCACCCCGCGTTCCCTAGCACCAGAACCCACAGGTCATGTCCGAAAGCTGCAACGCCGTTAGTCATCGTACCATCAAGGAATCCCAGGATGACTTACCCTTGGGTGATCGTTCTGGTGATTCTCATCACAGCCAGTCTCGGCGCGCGTCCACGGGTTCCAAGAGCAAATGCCCATCGCATCCGGGGTGTTCTGAGTCAGAGTGCTCCAGTAGCCACCCTTCGGCTCAAACGCAAAGTACATCTGCCTGTCGTCCGGACTATAGACTACAATCAGACCGCCCATGCCCAACAGCCTCACAGCACCCTTGTCGATACGTCCGGTCCCCTCGGGGTACGTGGCGACGGATTTGCGGTTGTTGTCTTCGACGCTGTAAAGCATGCCAAGCATCTGGTTGTGCCAGCCTTCAGCGGGCGTGTGAAGACACTGCTGGAAGAGTTGCAGCTTGAAGGAGCAGAAGCCTGGGGCGTAGTCCACAGAGGTTAGGTTGGTGCCGGCTGGACTGGGCGGCATTGAAAGGATATCGGGGATCGCCTCGGAGCGCGCGCGCTTCACGGTGAAGTCTGACTCGGGCTTTGTGCAGTCGAATTCGCAGGTCAGGGCTTGAGACTTCAGAATGGTCAGTGGGAGTAAGCAGAAGAGTATCTTGAGAACTAACTCGATGATTGCGGTCACTATCGTTGCAATCCAGCGGCAGGTTGTCCCACGGCTTAGTGGTGCAGTTGAATTCGCTGTCTCCATTCTGGTTAGGCCATTCAGCGTCGCCGTAGATGACTATCTCGCGTCAGCACTTTTGGAATCCCAGTGGCTCGCGATAGTACACACATCCGATGCTGTCCCTCTCATATCCAATCTTCAGTTTCTTTCCAGCAACCACGCCCGTGAGCGTCTCTCCATCGGTCAAGTCAATGAAGTCGGTTTGCTCCATGAACTGGTTGCCAGCGCCATCATAAACGGGTGAGAGATCGACGTAAGTGTTAGCGTGGTCGTCCCAGCAATCCTGAGTGACGACTGCGTCGAAGGAACAGCGACCGGGTGTGAAGTCGGGACCGACACCTTGAGCGACTACAGAGGTAGTCAACAAGAGGAGCGCGGAGGCGACAAGGGTAGATCTGATGAACATGTTGGTAGTAATCGTGTTTCCAAGGCGGCGGGATGATTGAGGAAGGTAGCAAGGGTAGGAATAGGCTGGGGCGGAAGGTGAGTGTTGTAACAGGTGATATGACGTGATCGCTGGTCGCAAACGCTCAAATGTTGGGCAGTTCAGGTAATGAATGTGTTGTGGTAATCCTGAGAATGAAGGGGTGGTTCAAGGTTAAGAGTGCCCAGGTACCCACTGCACTTTCCTGGGACAGGGTAATGACTGGGCTTTCAGGATCCACGTTCGATCCAAAAACTCGTCTCGTTGCCCGTCCGAGCCGCGATTCCTTGTTTCTGGTGCGAGTCCTCCTGACAGATCCGGCGATCTCGCGTTTGTCATGACGCCAACAAGCCACCTGTCGATGGAATGCTGCCCAAGATGTGAAAAACAACTGTATCGTGTGGTGCATACTCCAATACTTGGCGCTACGTATGTGTAAAATGTCCAACAACTAAGGTGACGCTCACCATTGTCTGATGCTTAGGTATAAGCTTGTAGCATGAGGGCGCGCCGGATCAGGCTGCCAAGGCTGATGCAGGTGTCGTGTCACTTACCCAGGTACTTACCATACGTTCTAGTGTTTGGAAGTTGGAAAGCGTAGTGCATGCAGGAGATTCAAACAAACGATCATTTTCTACCTTCGAACATGACGCGTGACTATGCGTGTACGATCCGTTGCACCGAAGAAGCTACAAAAAGCGTGCTGGCTAGGTATAGTCGCAGCTACCAGTGATTTGTCGTTTTTCGGACAAAGCATGAGAGCACGCTCGCCATGTTTTCAGACGCTCGGTTGACTCACAATCAGTTTTACTTAACATATAATCTGCGCAGTTCATTAATCATCTGCGAAGTGTCTAGATCAACTCTAGTGATCGATCCGACATGTCACTTAATGCATCCTCATCCCTCGCAGACGACTCGACGAAAGCGCCACTGTACGAGATACGACCAGTTGCAGGGAAAGGAAGAGGCATTGTAGCTTGCTCTAACATACCGAAGGGAACACGAATCCTGTGTGAGAAGCCACTTCTCACATTGGCTAGCAAGATTGATAGCCTCGATGATAACATCATGAGGAAAGTTCAAGCTCTCTCCAAGGATCAACAACGCCAGTATCTTAGTCTCTACAACACCCACACAAACGGCAATACTTTCACCGGTATCTTTCAGACAAATGCTCTGCCATGTGAGTCGACACCACCGACCGTCGGCATTTTCCCGACTATCTGCCTAATCAACCACTCTTGTGTACCCAATTCACAGCATAGCTGGAACAGCATGAAGAATAGCCAGATGATACATGCAGTTAGCGACATTGAACAGGGAGAGGAGGTTACGATTTGCTACGGCGAGCAAGGGGCTTTCGATGCGCGACGTGATTATCTAACCAAATCGTTCGGTTTCGAGTGCGACTGCAGTGTCTGCTCGCTTCCAACACCGGAGAGGCAAGAGAGTGATGCTCGCCGCATTCGCATCGAGCAACTTGACAAGGTCATGGGTAATATGGAACGCGCCGTATCCAAACCAGGTATTACAATCTCCACCGACCCCATTCTGAGGCACCTTTCGCTAAGTCGTGATAGTAAGCACAACCTTTCAGATCGAAACCAGACACGAGAATGAGTTTCCGCACACCTTCTATGACGTCCGCTAACTTTTGCTCGTGTGCTTTAGGATGAAGTTTTAGCGCACTGCCGACACATGGTACGTCTCCTGAATGAAGAATTCAGAGGTTGCGCCACTACCATGGAGTCGAGACTATATTTCGACGCCTTCCAGGTCGCCATTATGCATGGTGATCAAGCTCGTGCCAGCGTCTTCGCGGGAAGAGGTTACGACGTCCGGCTCGTTTGCGATGGAGAGGATAGTTTGACAACACAGACGATGAAGAATTTCCAAGTCGACCCACATACACATCACCTCTTTGGATATTCTTCTCTAATGTGGAAAACGAGCCAAGGTGATATTCCCGAAGGTCTGGGTGAGACGGAGTTTGAAGACTGGCTCTGGCGATCGCAATCAGGTTGATATGCGAACTCGAAGGTGTGAGAAATACCCACGCACGTGTTACAATGTTGAGCTCATGGTGTGGGAGTAAACAGTGGGTTTGAGAGGTAATAGAGCGGCTTGACAACGTGATGAGATCCTGGTTTGCGCTTAGCTGGTGTAGAAAAGGTCACTTACTCACTCACAATGCATTTCTTCTAGACCCCTACCTTTCCCTTACCCTCGCTCAACACACAGCGAGAGCAGTAACGTCCTTGCCAAAGCAATACAAGAGCGTGGTAACCACGAAGGTTTGCTTCCGCGTCGGCGCTCGCAAAAGATATACTTGACTGCTGCAATTAATTTCACTACTGCCGCATCCCATACAATGAGTTCCTCGCTCTACGATGTTCGAAAGATCCCCGGAAAAGGCAGAGGCCTAGTCGCTCGCTCCGACATTCTTGAAGGCACCCGTATCCTCTGCGAGAAACCGCTGCTCATGATACCTAACAACATGTCCAAAGAGCAACTGGAGGCTCGACTCGCACGAGATCTAAAGGCTCTGGACAAGACTCAGCAGCGACAGTTCTTTTCACTCCACAACAGCTACACTGGCAAGTACGTCCTCGGTGGTATCTTCAAAACAAACTCGATGGCTTGCGGCAGCGACTCGTCTGCCATTGCAATCTTTCCCACCATCAGCTTCATCAATCACAGTTGCCTTCCCAATAGTCATTACAACTGGAATGACTCCATGGGGATGCAGACGATCCATGTCACTCGCGATCTCCGCGCTGGAGAAGAGATAAGTATCTGCTACACCGACTCTGGAAGTGCCAGTGTTCGCCAAGCTTACCTGAAGAAGCATTTCGGGTTCGACTGTTCGTGCGCAATCTGCTCGCTCTCAGCTACTCATCGGAATGCCAGCGATGCGCGTCGTGAGGAAATCTCTCGGCTTCAAGACACATTTGCTGAAGCAGATCACGCAATGTCCCAGCCTGAAGAGGCATTCTTCGACCTTCGGAAGATAGTCGAACTCTTGAACAAGGTACGTGATCACGCTGAGTGAGACTGCAAGCCCATACTAATGGATTCCAGGAGTTTAAAGGTGCTGCCAAAGTCCCGGAGGCGGATATCTACTGTTATGCGGTACAGCTTAGTCTCTTCCATAGTGATGAAGCGCGAGCAAGTGTGTTCGCCGAGAGGGCTTACAAGGCGTTGCTCATCTGTGTGGGCGAAGATGGGGAGAATGCACAAGAGATGAAGGCACTGATAGACAACCCAGCCTCTGACGCAGACTTTGGATCGTTGTCGAGCAGGTGGAGATCTAACAAGTACGATGCTCCAAGAGGTAGAGATTTTGGCAAGAGTCACTTCGAGGATTGGCTTTGGCATTCCGTGGAGAGGATGGAGAAGGCGGACCTTAGCGATGATTAGTTCATGAACTGTCGGCGGGGGAGGACCTCGTAGCCAGTTCGGAGCTGCATCTTTGGGGCGAGTAAATCCGGATGCCTATGCGAATCAGAAATACTTTGTAATGGAGGATGCATCATATTTCCACAACACTGTGATCTTTCTCTGTGCTAAAGGGGATGTTGTACATGCGGCGACGTTGTTGAAAGCTTCGTAAGTAGTGCGCACTGCGCATTCCGACAGTATTTCAGACGAAGACGATGAGAGGTGTTGTGCTTGCTGCTTCCAACGAAGTCAATGATCTGTTGTTCAGGAGTCGAGGACGCGAGAGGTGCGCGGCCTTTCGGGCCGATTTCGGCATAGATCAGCGCGCGAGCTGCACTCCAAGGTGGGCGGCGATGCTTCTGCATCCGCATCCCGCCCCCACCTCTGCACACTAGAGAAGCTCCATGCATGGAGCACCGAAGACCACGCGATGCTCTCTCATGCGATCGTTGTCGCGCGAAGAAGCTAAAGTGCTCGAAAGATGCGCCAATATGCACTTCCTGCGCCCATAGCGGCTCGCACTGCCATTACAGTGGCAAAGTCGCTAGATCACCCTTGACACGGGCATACCTCACGGGTGTAGAGAAGCGACTGCACAGTCTGGAGTCTCTGGTCACGCAGTTGCTACCTGGAGTTGATATTGAAGACTTGTTATCAGCTCCAAATGTGGCTGGCTCTGCACGATCCGTCATCATCCAGTCTCAGACGCCAGAAGTAGCACCAAGCCCCCAGGGCAGCACCCACTCAAGCACACATGAGCCTGCGTTACCTGAAGCTGTACCCAACAATGTCGATGGCTTCAATTGGCAAGAAGAAGACGTCAATGTCGATGGGCTGACTGATGGCATGGCCGCCCTGTCAGTCGAGCCTACTGGTGTAGGTTATTTGGGTCAGTCCCTTCACTCGAAGAGCAAAACGCGTGACTGAAACTATCTAGGCTCGACTTCTGGAGTCGTTTTCCTTCGATGTTTGCTGGATTGGGCCGGCTTTCTGCACCAGTCTGTTCCCCGGACTCAACAGAGTGTGGCGACTCCATCCGCTTCCTTTCGAAACGTATTGGCATCATCGCACATTTCGCATGCAGCTCTCACAACCCAGCTGTCGTCGAGCTTGATTGATGCCTACTTTTCCAACTACCACGTAGTCTATCCATTTGTTCACGAAGCAACATTCCGAGCGCAGTACCATGAAGTCGTCCCGCGGCCCTCGAAGAAGTCGTGGAACATGCTTTCTCATGCGATCATAGCACTTGGTGCGTGGTCTTTGAATAACGACCAAATTGGACTGGAAGACTACCTGTACCGCCGGGCTTTGACCTTGGGTCAGGAAGAGTCTGTGTTTGAAGCTGCTAGCCTGACCTCTGTACAAGCACTCATACTTCTGAGCAACCTTAGTCAGAAGCGCAATAGCCCAAATACAGGATGGAATCTGTTGGGCCTCGGCGTTCGCACCGCGCTGAGTCTAGCCCTCCACAGAGAACTTCCTCACTGGAACATCACCCTGATCGAGCGCGAGACGAGACGTAGAGTATGGTGGGGTCTCTACATCTTCGACAGTGGAGCTTCGACGACATTTGGTCGCGCCATCATGTTGCCTGACCAAGAGACAATGGATGTTCATCCTGTACTGAACATCCACGACGAGGTATGGCCGTCCAGCGAATTTTGTATAGTCCTTGCGAAACTGACCCATGCTAGTCACTTACACCACAAACTACAACGCTACCCACTGAGGTTGACGAACCGACTATATACTCCTCTCTTAGAGTGCAGAGTAGTTTTCACCTACAGACGAACCACATCTCAAACAAACTACTAGCCGAACCCGGGCTCTCTGCGGAGGCCGCGCTCGCTTTGAACGCTTCCATGGATGCGTGGACACATACAGTTCCGACATATTTCCAGCTTTCGCATGCGTCCAGATCGACGGCTCCATGGTATTCATTCGCTCGCTCTCGGCTGTGGTGGAGGTTCTGGAATCTCAAGATCATCATCTTCCGACAGATCTTGTTGCGCCGAGCCATTTCAGAGCGAGGACAAATCCCAGACTTAGCCATGCAGTCAAGCCAAGAGGACTGTAAGCGAATTTGTCTTGAAGCCGCGCATTCTACAGTGGTTTCGATACATCAGTATGCAACACAGGACTTAAACAGACTTGAGGGGTGGTACGCGACGTAAGCATCTAAATTGGACCCTTCATATGAATGTCTAAGCTAATCGGATTACAGGTACTTCCTTTTCCACGCGGCACTAGTTATAACGCTTTGTATCATCAGCTTCCCACGCGCTGAGGAGACTGCAATCTGGTACGACGATGTTCGCTTGGCCCGAACCACCTTCCGCGAACGGCTTGTTGGGGATTCGCTGTCAGCACGCTGCGTGGCCATCCTCGACCAAGTGGTATCTGACGGCGAGTTGAACTCCGGTACACTACAGGATCTGGAGCTGGATAAAGATGCTTTGAGTACATTTCCATGGTCCGTTGAGTCCAATGAGTTATTCAACTCCTTCGATTGGGATTTCACTACGTCCGGGTTCTGACCTCAGGCTGGATCTTAATGGCACGATTCCTCAATTCTCGATGATGACATCCGGCTTTACCATCATGGATCGTATCAAGTCACCGTTTGGAATGTCGTTCTCCTCTGCTCGTGCGATTGCGGCTGACATCGACGTCTCGATGCCAGCAGCGAGGTGACGTTGTGCTAACCTTTCACGAACTGTGTCCACAGGCGCATCGACAAACCATCTACAGAGTGTCAGTACCAACCCGCCAGGCGAAAAATATGACCATGACCAACCTTTCATCACACATCTCTGCAATCTGATCCCATGGGTCTTGTTTCAAAAGTGTGTAGTTGCCCTCAACAATAACAAGTCGAGTACGAGAAGAGATCTTGATAGCGTCTTGCACGGGGTCCTTGACAGCATGGTCGAAGCCGGGTGCAGGAATACAGATGTCGGCTTCGCCATCCTTGGTGACGGGAGCTTCTTTGAGTGTCTTGACAAGTGTCACACATGCCTCCGCATCAAATGTGAACGGCGCCCCACGTCTTTTGAACGCTACTTCGGCATCATCGAAAGTCGACAGGATTTCCCGCGTGTAGTGGAAGCCGTCCTAGTGGTCGTCAGAGATGTGGCATCGCGGGTTGCGGTTGGCTCCTACCATCGGTACAACAGCAACATCTTTGATACCTCGCGCAGCAAGCTCAGAGACGAGCGCATCAGACACCGTTGACTTTCCCGCGCCTGGCACGCCTGCAAGAGCAACAAGCATGCGATGACCGGGATTGGTCGCTTGGCGAGACAGAAGGTTTTCCGTGCGCTTGGCCACATCGAGTATGGCTGCACGCAAGCCGTCCACCTTTGATTCGGCTGGCATCATCGGCGACTCTGGAATAGCAGTCACGAAATCCTTAATGAGATGCGAAAATGTATGAGATGCTCGGGTGAAAAGACTGGCACAAGGTGAGCAGTGTTACAGTACTGCATGCGACGAGCTATGATCTAAAGATCACGTTGGCGTTGTGGAGTTCGTCGGACGACAGCTGTCCGAGCATAAGTCATGTTGGAACCCCAGTTCCCACAACTGAATCAGGCAACTTTACCATGCGGGGATCCCGCATGGCACTTACGACTACCGGCGTAGACGCATGGAGAATCGTGGAGTCGGACGACAGTGCTCCGAAGATGTCGGACCCCAGCTACGATCGTGAAGTTCTCATGCGATCGGCAAAGGTATATAAGCACGCGACACTACCACTACTAGACTGCCTACTCATAGCTGATTCCAACCATCGGAGCCGAAATTGGCATATCCACAAAGAAGACGGCTAGCATGTCTTCAATCCAGGATGTTAACGCCGACGGAGTTGCGCCAAAGATTGGTGTCTACAAGGAGCTGAGACAAAACCCATACCTCCTTGGCCTGTCCGCTGTAAGTCGATACGAGGCCAAACCTACCTCAGTCCCAACTAATATGCATAGTTCGCCTCACTGGGCGGTTTTCTCTTCGGTTATGATCAAGGTGTCGTCTCTGGAGTGTTGACCATGGAGTCTTTCGCGGCATCCTTCCCGAGAATCTCCACAGACAGCTCCTTCAAGGGCTGGTTCGTCTCGACTTTGCTACTCGCCGCTTGGTTCGGTTCTCTCGTCAACGGACCAGTAGCCGATCGCTTCGGTCGCAAAGGGTCTATCATCATAGCTGTCGTCATCTTCACCATCGGCTCTGCGCTTCAAGCTGGCGCGATCAACATTCCGATGGCCTTTGCAGGTATGAGATATCCGGCGAAGTACAACTACAATTCAAACTGACAATATCCACAGGCCGCGCAATCGCTGGTTTTGCTGTTGGCATGTTAACCATGATTGTACCAATGTACATGAGTGAGGTTTCAACCGCCGGCATCAGAGGCACTCTAGTCGTTCTCCAACAGCTTTCCATCACACTCGGTATCCTTGTCTCCTACTGGCTCGAATTTGGCACCCAGTACATTGGAGGCGTACGCTGCGCGCCCGACATCCCGTATACTGGTGGCACTGCAGCAGAGCCTACCTTCGACCCACGAAACGACGTTGGCCCGAACGGCTGCACTGGTCAGAGCGATGCTGCGTGGCGCGTTCCTTTTGCGCTCCAGATCTTCCCCGGTCTTGTTCTCGGTATCGGTATGCTCTTCTTCCCCGAATCACCTCGCTACTACTGTATGCGCGACAACGAAGAGGCTGGTGTGCGAGCCCTCGCCCGAGTCCGTCGCACCTCTCCAGATGATGAGTCCCTGCAAAAGGAGTATCTCTCCATCAAAGCCGAAGTCATGTTTGAGGAGCAATACAACCGCGAGAAGTTCCCTGGCAAATCTGGAGTTTCGCTGTATCTTTCCGGTTACTCAACGCTCTTTTCGACCTGGCCATCTTTCAAGCGTACTGCCATTGGTTGCTGTGTCATGTTCTTCCAACAGTTCATCGGATGTAATGCGATCATCTACTACGCGCCGACAATCTTTGGCCAGCTAGGCCTCAGTGGTAAGACGACTGGTCTGCTTGCAACAGGTGTTTATGGAATAGGTATGTGATCTGCTGTCAGACGCCACGAACTTTGATTACTAACTCGATCCTCTAGTCAACACATTGTCTACTCTTCCTGCGCTCTTCCTCATCGACAAGATTGGCCGCCGCCCTCTCCTCCTCTGCGGTGCCGCCGGTACTTGCATATCCCTCTTGATTGTCGGTGGTGTCATCGGCGGTTACGGATCTACACTCAAAGACCACCCCGCAGCTGGATGGACGGGCATCGCCTTCATCTACATCTACGACGTCAACTTCTCATACTCTTGGGCACCAATCGGCTGGGTCCTACCCTCGGAGATCTACAACATCGGTAACCGCTCAAAGGCCATGTCTCTGACCACCTCATCGACATGGATGTGCAACTTCATCATCGGTCTCGTCACACCCGATATGCTGGAGACTATTGGTTTCGGTACATACATCTTCTTTGCTGCTTTCGCTCTGATCGCATTTGTGTTCACGTGGTTCCTGATACCCGAGACCAGGGGCAAGAGCCTGGAAGAGATGGACGCTGTGTTCGGTGACAGCACTGCACACGAGGAGAAGACGAGGCTGTACAACATTGCGCAGAGTCTGGGACTGGAAGAGGCTGAGGCTGCGGCATTCGATGAGAAGCCCATGAAGGCGCTGCAGACCGAGGTGACGAACGTATAAGAATAGTCTACATAGATGGCGGCAGTACATCAGATATCCGTTAACTATAACAGATGATGTAGACAATCATGACAAATCTTCCCATTCACGACAAAAGACAGAAGCTAAACACCGTGAAGCGTACGTTAACACTAGGTCTCCTTGTTTGCTCAATATTATCCTGACGTAGGCTGCAGGCCTGTTCATTTTCTTCTTTATTGATCTGCTGTCCAATCCCTCATCTATAACTATCGTCCAACTGGTCAAGCGTGGTCATATCATGCTGGTTGAGAATCCTGCATTGACTCGTCTTCATCTTCATCATCATAATAATCACTTTCCTCATACTCGTCATCCCCAAAGTCATCCTCTTCATCCTCAGAGTCGTCTTCAGAATCAGCCATCCATCCCGTCATCCGTACCTTCTTGCGTTCGTTACAAATTTGAGCTCGGCATTCCGGACAGAGATTGGAGTTCGGGGAAGAGCCATTCATCCATTTCTTGATGCAAGCGAAGTGGAGGTAGTGATCACAAGCGCTTATTTTGACACCCAATAGGCCGTGAGGCTCAAGACACACAACGCAGAGCTGGTCTTGAGGGATGTCTAGATCCCATTTTGCATGCTCTAATGGCTGTATGCAAGGTCCGTATGCCTCTAAATAAGCCTTGCCGTAGACGTTGCGTAGGGTGTTCGTGTCGAGGTTGTTTTCATCTTCGGTGTCGTCGGCAGTGTTTTGTCCGTTGTCGCTTTGCGCGCTCTGTGCGTTTTCTGCTGATGACGCTCCAGCCGATGCAGCTACTGGCCCGTGTGGCTTTGCGAACCAAAACGCGTGTATCTCCTCGCTTTCGTAGGAGTCGTTGCCAATAGTTTGCGCCTGAGCCATATTTCGTGGAACGCCTCCGAACTCGCCCTTTCTAATGCCATCTGCTGACAGCGAAGAAGCGGCTTCGGGTATCTCTTTCCATGTTCGGAATTGTAGGCCTCCATCCCTCCACAGCCCTCTTAGCAGAGCCCTCATATTCACAGTCTGCGATTTCGACTGGATCGAGGCCCTGGCAAACTGGTTTATCATTCCTTGGTACATGCGGTCTACAATGGGCTTTTCTATGCTCAAGGCAAAAGCCTCAAGCCACAGATCATCCCAGATATCCCTGAACTTGATTTCTTTCAATGCGACTCTCGTATGGTAAGGGAGCGCCTTGATTTGATCTCCGCGAAGTGATGGAGTTGCTTGAACTATGTCTTTGAAGCGGGCGCGTGCCTGTACAAAGCCGCCGAGATAGGTCGCATACGATGGATAGAAACATGGGTTTCTTTCCCAGATTGCGACTACGTTGAGTGTGATGTCCATTACGATATCGAGCAGGCTTGCTATAGATGCTTCGTCGCAACGGGACCACATGGTGAAAAGACGGAGCGCGGGTTGGATGGCTGTCATAGTTTGGCAGTACTCCTCCTCTCCCCGGTAGTCATGACTATCGTTGTATTTTGGTTGAGGCGTAAGAAGTTGCTGAAGCGCCGTCCTCGCCCCGGCGTAATAAGCAACTCCATCCGGTAGTCGTATCAGTGCGCACTCGACAAGCCACTTGACACCGCGAGTTACGGTCGTATATCCTTCACTTTTGTCCCAAAGTACTTCTCCCGACATCAAGTCCGTCTGATGAATGTACTCATCCATAACGTGCGAATACTGTCCTCGGTAGAAGATACCAGGCAGGACTCGTCTTACGGATTGCCTAGTTTGAAACTGCGGTGCCTCCCGGTCCACGAGTTCCGGTATCGTGGCGCACACATCGTCGTATCGCTGAGGGGTGGGCGTGTACACAAGGCAGTACTCATCGGCTTCGCGTTGACTGAGTATACCTGCGAAGAATCGGAGGACGAGCTGGGATCCGTAGGGAGCGTCTAGGAATCTCTCAATGGCGTTGGACAGTTCAGGAATATAGCGCGGTTCAGGCTCGCGATCATCGAGTTCGCAGTCTCTGTCGACTTCCTGCATCGGCGCGGTCTTGACAGGATCGGATATGAATTTTCGGCGTCCGAGTGCGGCTAGGAAGGAGGGCAGGAGCAAAGACTGTTTTTACTGCCGAAAGCTTGGACGTAGCAAACACTCATCCGACTAACAATGGCAGTGAAAGCTTTTCGATCCTCTTCTCATCACGTAACACCAAGGAAACAAAGCAGTGTATGGCGAACCCCCACAGGAGGCATATGTTTGTACACTAAATGCTAGCAATACAACGCCGCCACCGAAGAAAGTAAGAGCGCACTGATGCGACTAACAGGTACAAGGCTACTTGTGATACACGAGCAAGGAAAACAAAAAAAGCGAGCGCTATGTCAGAGCAATCAAGAGGGGTATTAGAGACAGTAGCGAAGATATAAACCAGCCACCACCAGGGCTCCTATAAAGATACATATTTCGCGCCGCGAGCGAGCGGATGATGCAGGCCGGAAGAAAACAGAGATGTAAAATGGGGGGATGACAAGCAAAGGTATAAAGAAGCGGACAGGAAAGTAGAACCCCAGCCCAAAAAACCAAAGTTCTCCCAAGATTTCGTTCCACATAATGCGTCCCACAATCCCCAGAACGCCGGTTGAGGATAGAGGAAATAAGCCCCTAGGGTATACTGAAAAAGCAAATAATGTAACTCACAACGAACGAGCGTCTAGAATCTCGATCCCGCCCTCAAACTGCCGTTTGCGCTTGTGCTGCGTGCGGTGCTAGCACCACTTCCAGCTCGCTTCATGCGCTTCTCCATAAGCCCGTTGAGCAGACGATCTAGTTCGCCACTCAGGCCCTGCATGGTCTTTGTCTCTTCGGAGAGATAGTCCTTCATTAGTGGATGATCGCGACCAACAGGTACAACGCCCGTAGTGTCGTTGATAACGACGAGCATATCACGGATCTCGCTGCCGTCATCGAGGTAAGCGCGGAGTGAGGCGTCGGACCATGCAGGAAGCATCGTGCTTTCCGATGATACGGGCGGCGACGGTTCGCGATCCTTAGTAGGGATTGGTGCTGGTCGTGAAGGTGGAGGACCGGCCGGTTCAGATGGATGATGCGTGGGTGAGGAAGTGTTGTCAGACCTGAAAGTCGAAATCGTGTTGTTCTCTGGAATGGTTTTCATAGGGCTGTCGTCAGGCGTAGGCGTCGAGATGGGGGAGCTGGTCTCTTGGCTTGAGCTATCGGTAGACAGGCCTGGAGTGTGGTGGGATTCAGACTCTCTCTCTCTGTCGGCAGCACTCTCTTTCTGTGAGGGTTGTGCGTCCGCTGCAGAGACGTGTACTGGAGACTCAGAAAGGCGTCCAGCAGACTCGGACTTCTCAGCCTCGCCTGGCTTATCCTGAGCATCAGGATCGGCGAAAGGATCGCTGCTTTCATCTGAATCGAAATCATCCAACTGCACGCGCTGCTTCGCCTTGGTAACCTTCTCGCGCTTGACCTCTCCTTCTTGTGGTGACTTCATCATGCTACTGAATGGGTTTCTTGAACCTGTAGGCGCGGATGTTGAATCTGGCGACATAGTCTGTTCTTCTACAGAAGGCCTGTCTGCCTGATCCTGTTCGGGCGGAACTAAACGCATGGTCGACGTAGATTGTTGCGCGGCGGACTGATTGTCAGGTCCATCCGACATGGCATCTGGCTCGGCGCTCAACTCAGTCGGACTCTCGGTCTTCAAGATACCCTTCGTCTTTTGCGGTGAATCGTCTCGGTTACGTTGACTTCGATGCACCTTGGGCTTGCTCAACTGTCTCAACGGTGCTGGAGCTGTTGCCTGTTCAGCTGACGGTCGTTCTGCGAGTTCATCCGATGGTTTCGATTGCGGCGAGCTGCGGTCCATTTCTTCCGGCTTCTCGATGTCGCTGTCCACGGAGTCTTGTGCGCCCTTGCCTTTACGATCCTTGCGCTTGAAAAGCCCACTGAGCATGCCAGACTTCTTCTCTTTCTTCTTCTTGTCGTCCTTGACCTTGTCCGCGAACCCATTCTTCTCCAAGCTTTCGAGGCTGGGGCCGCGCTCGCGGGAGCCTGTAGTCGATGTACTGGAGTCGTCGCGAAGCAGGTTGGGAGTGAGGGTGATTTTGCGTGTCTCGGTGTTTTCGTCTTTGAAGAAAGAGTCTGTGTTGCGGAGCGTGCCATTCCGAGAGACTTTGGGGTCCAATGGCCGATCGACCGCATCTTCGCTACCTCTTTCACGGTCCTCGCTTCGTTTGGCAGAGTCCTCGCTTGAGCCTCGTGCTTCACCATCAGTCTGGCCATCCTTCTTCGCGCCGTTAACCTTGAGAGGTTGCACTTCGAGGTTTTCTTCCTGTGCGGAATCGCCATCTTGTGTTGCTGCCTGCTGCTGTTGCATTTGCTTTGGCTCTGGGCCACCAAAAAGCTCACCTTCGCCCTCATCAGATGAGTAGTCGTAGTCCGAGGCTTCGACGTAGGTAGGAGGAGCGAATTGTACGGTCTTAGCATTCCTTCGCCGCATAGCCTTCTTGAGCGGGTTCTTGGATTTCTCAGCAGTGTCACCAAGCATCGTTGCGGAGAGGTCTATATTTCTGTGCTTGTTGAGGCGGGCCAGACGTTCTGTCGGTGTCTCGATGTGTTCGGCGGGCAGGTAACCTGTAGATTGAGTCAGCAAAAGCTTCAAATTGGTGACGGATGCCTACCGATGCTGTTGTCCTTGACTACTCGTACTAGCCACCAGTAGCTGTTACTGTCATCAAGTAACACCATCGTGTCACCTTTCGTTGCATTTGCCTGACCCTCGACGGTCGCGACAAACGTGTGCAGGGCGTAAACAAATTCGAAGTCGATGTCCTCTGTTTCTCGTAAGCATTCGCCTCCCCATCCTGAGTCGATAAATCTGGAGTCATCAGAGAAAGAGACGTCGTTGGATGCATCATCGTTGTCTTGGTCCATGTCCTCGTTCCAGGAGTCGGCGTCGCTGTCGGTGGTCCAAGAGCCCTCCTCGTCTTCAGAGTGACCATCGTCGGGGGAAGGGGTGCTGCTCGTCCCTCGAGGTGGACCTGGGCCGGGTTCTAGGAACGGATCGTCCGGCGTGTCCAGAAGTGCGCGGTTGATCGGTTTCAACATGCTTTTGACCTGCTCCTCGTCCAGTTCGGAGATTAGTGATGCCTGTGAGTCTTCTCTCATCTCAATACGGCGTTCGACGGCCTTGAGTTGTCTCGTCCTCGGGCTCATACCGACCTCGATCCGTATGGTGTCGCTGTCGTCCAGTGCGTTGGTGGCCCTTGTCCAGGAATACTCACCACGATGATGCTCCGCTGACTGATTTTCCGTAGGTATAGGGAATCGAAAAGAAATGGGAATCGATGTAGGTCGACCCCTTGACATAAGAGAAGTGTCGGACGCTGGGACGCTGAGTGGTCTTCGAGCGTTGGCGACAGAAATAGGAAAATGAATGGGCGTGTTCGTAAACGGGGAGGAAGAAGCGACCGTTGAGAGGAACGGCGAAGACTGCGGAGTCGTAAACTCTTGTCTTGCCGACCAGGTCGTGGGGGAACAAGGTAAAGAATACCCACCATCGTCTATCGAGGGCGAACTCGAAATCTTGTCCATCATGTCGTCGTCCATGTCCTCCTCAACGTCGGCGTCCTGCATGTCGCCATCATCACCGTCGTTGGACGTTCCACCATTCAGCCTGACAGCCTGCTCGTCTTGCTGTGAGCCCTTGTTTCCATTGATGACAGTGCGGTCGTCGTCTGAGCCGGGGTCGTCTCGTAGCGTGTTGCCAGCATCGCTCCATGCATCGTGTAGACGCGCCTCCTCTGAGGTGCGCTCCTGCTCTACATGCCGTATCGCAGCCTGCTGGTGAGGTGCTGCTGGGCCAATACCGAGCGGCGCAGGGTGTTGGGGCTGCTGGGAGTGGTCTTGGGCTGTGGGCGATGATTTGTCCTGCAGGTCGATGGTGTCTACGCACTCTAGTTAGCATGCGCACCTCCAATTGCGCACTCTCTATTGTCTCCGTACCTGCTCTGATGATATGCGGTCGCGTCATCCTAGCTCATTCCTCTTTGCGCGTGCAACGTTGGGGGATCTTCGTTCGGAGGAATGGCTAGGTGAGATGAGGCGCAATCGGTGGCTGGGTCGACTCGCGCAGGGTCACCGTAGCGCGACTCCAGTTGCCGTGGAAATACAACAATACAAAGAGCAAAGAATCGTGGACGTGGGTCGATCAGGGCGTTACAGGTGTCGCATGCGTTATCTGAGCGTGTTTCGAGGAAGGAGCGGCTGAGGGTCGGGGGAGCGTGAAGCGGAGTGAGATCCGTTGGGGGACATGCGAGTCTCTGACGCGGCAGCGAGGGCGAGACGGCGGCACAGCGAGACAGCAAGAGGGCGAGGGGATGGCGATGAAAGCGTCGCTGCTGGCAATGAGGGGCACGTCGTGGGCGGTGCAGTGGTGAAAGTAACGTCGTATGGCACGAGAGTGAACTGTTTCGGGGTCGCGCCTTCCCGAAGTTGTGCCCTGTCTAGGTCAACTTGAAACACCTCACTTCTAGTTCCTGCGCTAGCCTGTTCCTGGTCATCCCCATCGCAAAAAGGAGATGCGGCTCGGTCCTTCTATATCACCGCTTTAATGACCGCATCTGCAGCCAACTCCTGTCTGATTGCCCGTCTTGTCCTGAACGCATCATGCGTTCACGGAGTCGTTTCCACATAGGCGACGTTATGTGGGGATCCCGGCTGCAACAACAAGCCGTCCAAACACTAACTTGGAACAATGTCAAACGTCATTGACTTTGGCAGCTTGCGACAGCAGATACGCCATGTCGCACAAACTGTCTCAAATTCACGAGTTCCAGAAACATGTTTGAACGGTACAGGACAAGGTTCTTCCTATCTTGCGAGCGCCAAATGGCTTGGTGGTTCTATGTATCTATTAGAGGCTTGGCAGCGCAGTGTACTTCGTATGGCACTACTACATGCACTATCACGACTAGATGTTTGTTCCACGAATGTCGCGGATGGCGTAGTATGGTGTACACTTTGGAAACGCCTACGTAAGCCAGTGGTAATCAGCATGTTCAAACCTTTCAGCACTATGACGAACATATATATATATATGTTCCGCATTCGCATTCATCAATACTAATCGCTGGAATCATGACCTTCTGCATGGCATGTCGATTGAGACGTACCCAACCATATCACTGGTGCTTAGCACGGCATCTACTCAACTTCACCAAAGTTCCGTATTCGAATTTCGTCGTCCGAAACCTCTTCGAAATACGAAGAGCCCTTCCAGCCACAGACGCGCATGTTGACGAACTTCTCGATGTCTTCGTCGGAAACCTGTTCCTTCCCCGCAAGTTCATCCAGCATCCATTCCAGGACCATCAGGTCCTCTGGATCCAACCACCCCTTGAAACGTGAGAAGCTACTCTTCTCCTCTTCAGGAATGTACTTAAACCAGTCGCCCGTGTTATCTATCAATGCTGGCCCGACTACTACGTATTTGTGATCATCCAATTCTCTGATTATCAACCCATAGCTACCATGCCAAAAAGGGGGGTTTAGATCCTCAGCAAAACACCAATCACCCACTTTCGTGTCGACGTTTGCGCGCACGGTAATTTGTGAGCCCATTCGTATCAAAACAAAGCGTCCGTTCTGTACTTGCTCCATATAGCATGAATGTAGGCTACTCTGCTTTCGGCCGTCGGCATGCTCGGAAACTCGATTGCGTTCGATGATCTGTATGCCCCTCCATTTCCTGTGAACTTTGGCAATATCGGAGTCATGATTGTCTTGTAGTCCAAGGTCCGTTTGGGGAGCCGCGCTCGAACGTAACGCAATGGCGTCGCGAAAAGATGCGAGTTCCAAAGTAACATCGAAGAGTTTTAACAACAGAGAACACTGATATGTAAGGAGTAGATAGATTTCATCATGAGCCCAAAGGCTGAGAACGTGTTTAGCAACTTCGAAGTTATCCTTGGTGTAATCCGGGGCTGGTCCCTGTCCATCTGGCCACTTTACAAGTGACAGAATACCGTATAGGTTGTCTCGAACGTCCACGCAATTGAAGCACTGAAGCATTTGCAAAACGTCCCCCAGAGTTGGCTTTCGTGCTGATGCACTGAGTCGTAAACAGCCCCGATGCGGCACTGTACTAGAAAAACCCTGCCATGGCGATTGCCAGGAATTCTTCGAGGGTCTGTCATCCAGAATACACCTCTGCAAAACCCATCTCTGGTACTTTCTTTTTGACCACAATCCACTCGCATCGTGACGTCTGATCCAGTATTCAATCAGCGAATCCAATGCTCGGAAATGCTCGCCTGGCAGCACGTCCACCCCACAACAATAGGACACTCTAGTGGCTAGATGCAGCTCTTGTAAGACCCAGACGCGTGTGAAATAAGGCCTCTTCATGAATGCTATGAACGCTTCGCTCGTTCTCAATCGGTATGATGTACGCATAGTAAAGAGACACTGCAGTTGTCGTCGCACATGCCTGGACATTGGATTGTACCAGGGGTGACCCGTGCCGATCGTATTATACCCCACGAGCGATCGGCCCCATAGGTAAGCTTTCTCGAGAAAAAGTCGCTGCGAATCTATAGTTGCCATTAAGTATTCGCTGTCATCCGTATGTGGTCCAACACAAGCAAAAACGTGCTTCGCTCCCGAATAAATCTTGCCCATGATGCCGACTTGGTGATTCCTCTCCTGTATGCTCATCTGGGCAATACAAATAGCATCGACCCAGTAATAACGACTAGCCTTCGTAGCAAAAGCTTGTTGAAGTACGTATTCACAATTCCGCCGTACAACCAAAGGCTTGCCGTTGACAGTAATTTCGGACGTATCAGCTGGGTCGCCCCAGGTATACGATATCGCGTAGTAGGACGGCGCATCGTCAATCGGCCATGAGGAGATCTCGCATTCTACATGTTGACCAAAGTCGCCGCGCAGGATGTATAGTAGGCGGAAGTGGGTCGTAGAGTCGGGAAGTGGGTCGTGCTCGAACGCGGAGGATGGAGTTTCGTTGGTCATGCTCGCGCGTAGTAGGGAAGCTGCAAAGCTTCGGGGAAGGTGCGCGACATGCGCAACTTTGTGGTACGGAATAGCGCTCGATGAAGATCTTCTGAATTCTTGGTCCTGGTCTATTGTAAAGATGGGATGGACGGACAACCGTCGGAAGGCTGAGATGCTGCCTGCCCATCAACTCAATCAGGCTGAGCTGATCCTCAGTCGCAGTCAGCCATGCGGAGGCTGTGCGGCAGCGTCTCGCGTCTCGCATCCTCAACCTCCGACATCATATTGTACCTTCAGCACGTCTCCCATCGCGAACTAGGCAATACAACAAGCATTCGTTCTGGTCGACACATCCACCACGGCCTCTCGTTTCGACTGCGCTAAATCGTCCGATGCAGCTTCGATACTTAGGCAGGGTCGGAATCGAGTGCGGATCACAGATTCGCCGTCGTCCAGAGTTACTCAAGGATTTTGGGATTTCCTTCACACAAGAAAATATGCTTGCGACAAAAGTAACGGTCAATTTCATGATATCTCCATTCATCGATGGAGAAGAGTTGCTAGACGCTGAGAAGTGTAGACCCGCCGAGGAAGGAAGGCTGTCGCGATGGGAGTTCCGACCTTGCACTTGCAGGGCTTGTGCCACAAGTACGAGGTGCCGACGAGCTCCATTCTATCGTTACCGACGTGAACGACGCTGCTATCGCGTGAGATCAATCGCACGCATCAGATCCAAAGCGTTAAAAAGACAATGACGGTGCGCAGCTCAACTTCGTGCATTAAGAAAGAATGCGTGGTCTGTACGATCACACCTGAACAAGCGGATCCTGCGGAGATTTGTTCTCGCGGATATTCTTCGGCTTATGGACTCCGTATCGGTATTACGCAGCGATGGCACCTTCGCACTAGCTTTCCTCGACACTCCTTTGAGATCAGTCAAATCCTGTAGAGAGCATCTTCGTTGTTTCATTCTCTGCGTACTTCACGCACGTCATAAATCCGCTCAAAACTCCCTTGCAATTCCCATCCAGCCCTATCCGTACTAAAAAGCCCACGTTTGTGGATCTCTCCGGGCCGATGGGCGAGAGCTAGTCCTCGTACAGCCCTTGCGTGCCCCTTTCCGGACAGTGCACATCGGCCCGTGAGCCTCATCTAGCGTTGAAGTCTTCCAGAAGACCACTTTTGTTAATTTTAGAACACGACCGTCATCTTCGGTCTTCAGGCTCGAATGTCAATGGACAGAACCGTTGAAACGTCTTGCGGGTATCCTTGTAAATACGATGTTCAGGCTGTATTAACGAGTAGCGCGAGCGCAGGTACTCATATATACCTCCGTCATGCCGCCTAGTATTTCCTCCTTCAAATCAAGAGCGCCTCATCTCTGGACACTCACGACCCCGTCTCATCCGAACACCATCTTTCACCATGGTGGCCCAAATGAAGAAGCTCCTGGCCGTCGCCACCACCGTCTCGGCATCCGTTCTTGAGTTGCCCGTCGTCATCGACAACAGCTATGCCAGCGTCAAATTCGAAATTGGAACACCCCCGAAGGAACACCGGTTGTTGTTCGACACCGGGTCATCAACGCTGTTCGTCGTCAACACCGACTGCACTGAGGAATCTTGCCCTGATGGCAGGGTCACGTCATACGTTCGAGAGAAATACAATGCATCTGCTTCATCAACATCTGTCGACCTCAACATCCCCGCGGCGATTCCATACCTCGGCGGCGACGTTGCCGGCGATACTATCCAGGACGTTTTCAGCACTCTAGACGGTAGCGTGGAATGGAACCAGACTTTCCTGTCTGCCAACCAGAGCAGCTGGCGTTTCATCACTGCTGATGGCTTCCTGGGCCTGGGTTTCTCCTCGATCGCGGAAAAGAACACGTCGACCCTGGTCGAGACATTGTTGTGGGACGGAAATCTGGACGCACCCCGTTTCAGTCTATTCTATGGAACGAACTTTGAGGATGCGGGTAACGGTACGCAAGACGGTGTGCTAACCGTCGGCGGCAGCCATGAGGACAAGTACGTAGATGGTGAGGTGGTCTCCACGCCCTTGAGGAAAGAGGATCCATACCAGCTCTGGCGTGCGCCACTGAGGAGCGTCAACGTCCTCGTTGCGGAGAACGTATCGGAAACAAACGCAACCATTGAGATTCACAACGGCCACCTTCCCACCACTCCCGTGTCGAACGGTGGTGAACCAGATGCCAACGTAACATGGTCAATATACCAAGGTGGAGCGGTTTTCGATACTGGATCTGGACGTGTCTCCTTTCCGAGCGACATCATCGACGCCATGTACTTCAACCTCGGCTGGAATTACACCAAGCTCACCAACCACGGCGAAGAGATCATGGAGTGTAAACACCTGAACGCTTCATGGGCCATTACTGTGACACTTGGCGAGGGCGCCCGGGAGGACGATGTCTCCTTCACCCTTCGGGGCGACGAGTTTCTCTTGCCGGGCCACCAATGCATGCCGCCTTTTGACAGCAGCGAGAGCGAAGGTTTCGCGTTGATCGGCGCTCCGTTCCTGCGAAGACATTACTCCGTCTTCGACTTTGGTGCTGACAAGGTCGAGGACTATCAGCCCACCATTGGTTTCGGAAGGTTGAAGAAGGAGTACGATTTCATGTACTTGTGATCACGGGTCATGCAACTTTGTTCTGTTCTTTGTAAATATACGTAGTTTGCTGCACCATGGAATCCAGATGCGCTCGCGCATCAACATATATCAAGATGTGCCAGCTTTCCTGTCTACTTCCTTTATCTCCAGATGGGGTCGCCCAGTACCTCTCGCAACTCGCATGTGCAACGTGAGAACTTTTGAATCGGGTTTGATCTTTTCAATCTTTTGCATTCTCGCGTCGCCCATTGTGTCGAAGTAGCGGAGCTCTTCAAGGTTGTCCCGGTAATGCTTATGGAACTTCTTCTGTATGTTGGTCCACTGGTCTCCGACTACTGCCGTAGCTGACCAATGACCATTCCTGAAGAAGAACACGAATGCGAATATGGGATACGCATCCTTCTTGAACTCCATGTAGCCTATGATGGCGCCTGTATGTGTCGCGTGTAGCCATTTTGCAGTAGGATCCCATATACCGCGAGGTTCGACTCGACTGACATGCACACTGGCGGGCTTCTCTACCCGCATGACTTTTTCCATGATTGTCGAAGCTTGCGGACCTGTCAACGACTTGACCGCAGTAAACTCAGTGTAGGTCACTTCAGTCTTGACCCTAGGGCACTCTTGAGGCAGCGCGCGAACGAACAGATCCGGCCCAACTCTCCTGAGATAAATTCCAACAGGTCTGCCGACCGCGCCCAGGGAATGTTTCACTGGTAGTATAGCAAGTCCAGTATCGTGGTCCCAGGCGAGTCCCAATTTCAGTCGGATGCCACGGTTTGTCATGTAAAAGTCTCGTGGCTTAACAGCCGGTTCGGGGGTGATTGATCGCATTTGCCGGAAGCAGCTGGGAGACGGGGCGAGGAGTCCCGACAGC